CTTCCTCCCAACCAATCACAATCGCGGACCCAGGCATGCCGTCACCAAGCGCCGCCCTCTCAAACCACAACACAGAGCACATGAAGATGTCGCAGCAAGGAGAGGCGGAGGAAATTGTTTCAAAGAAGGGTTTTTGTAGTTCGGCAGTCTGGCAGTATTTCGGTCATGGCAAGTCGGACCAAAAACAAACCACAGTCATCTGTAAAATGTGTCGGTAAAAAGTGAAAACGAAGTCTGATAACACAACCAACTTTTTTTTTTTTTTTATCATCTCAGCCGCTCACACCCGCAGGAGTACGAGCTGTGTAGGCGCCGGCGCGGCTCTCCTCCGAGGAATCTTCGGAAAATATATATATATATTTTCAGTTCTGGGCAGTTTCCCACGTAGTTCTAACAATTGAGAGAAAAATGCTGAGGGGCCAGCAACTTCAAAGTAATAACTCAGGTTAAAGCAGGAAACGGGGGCGGTGGCGGCGGTGGGGGGGCATTTATTTATTTGTTATATTTATTTTGGTCACTTTAGTTTATTCTTTGTCAGTATTTAACAACATAACTCAGGTCTCTTAAGTTATTTTTCTTTAAAACAATTCTGTTATGGTTAAAAAAGTTGGTTAAATAAAGATTTAATTCGAAGTCTGTGTTTGTGTTTTTTATTAAAATTAAATCATTTAGCAATATTATAAAAAGTCCAGGCAGACCTGCACATAAAATATGGTTTCAAATCTTTTCAATAATTATCGATATCGATCAATATGCATTTTTTTTTTATCGATACGCTTTTTTTCTATATCGCCCAGCCCTAAACTGAATTGATAAGTAGGGTTCTACAAACCTTGTTTGATCAGTAAATCTTGAATTTTTTTTTGCTGCACCTCATATGACCTCATATGGCAACATTAATGGTAGAGGAAAAATTGTGTGGTGAGATTTATGTTATGTCTTCAGGTAACCTATAGTAGGGATTTCACAGATTGCATAGGCATTGTTGTGCAATTTACATCTACTGGTTCCTAGTGGTTTGGTATTTCAGCAATCTATAAGGGAACGCTGCTCCAACTCAGGGGTGCTCAAGAGCTTCCATCCAGTAACTTTTAGATGCATCTCTTTAACACACCTGAATCAAAAGCCTCAATCCCCTTCTTTAGCCCAGCAGGGGCATGGTAACGAGCCACTCATTTGATTCAGGTGTGTTAAAAATGGGGTGCATCAAAGAGCTCTTGAGGACTGGACTAGAGCTACCCTGCTCTAACTGAACTGGGTCCCTCAAGGTTTTCTTGGCGGAACATCTGCAACATTGACAGCAATCTATTAAACTGTTGGATTCTCATCCAGTTCGAATATCTGTGAGGCAACTTGCCAGGAGAGAGAGAACCCAAAAATGTCATGTTCTGTATTAGCATCTATGCTACCAATTAATTTATGGAGAAACTTTATCTCCCCGACAATGGGAACTCCTACAGGACTATTGGAAAAGAGTTTGAAATGCTAAGAATGTTCAAAGCAATAATCAAAAGAAATAGGTACCATTTTAAAATATCCAATTTTTCACAATTTCTGTAGAATTTTGCACAGTTTGGCTTTATAGGTTATATTAGGGCTGGGCGATATAGAAAAAAAGGTTATCGATAAAAAAAAATGCATATTGATCGATATCGATAATTATTGAAAAGATTTGAAACCATATTTTCTGTGCAGCTCTGCCTGGACTTTTTATAATATTGCTAAATGATTTAATTTTAATAAAGAACACAAACACAGACTTCCAATTAAATATTTATTTAACCAACTTTTTAAACCATAACATAATTGTTTTAAAGAAAAATAACTTAAGAGACCTGAGTTATGTTATTAAATACTGACAAAGAATAAACTAAAGTGACCATAAAAGTGACCAAAATAAATATAACAAATAAATAAATAGAATACCCTATTTGGGTGGGAATAGTACACCACCAGCTTGTGGTAATTAAAAGATTGTAGGACTAGGCTACCATGTAAACTCCACTCAACAAGAACAAAAACCCAAATCAGCTCACCCTTTAGCCTAGCATTTCTATGGGGTATTTTTTCTTACCCCTATTCTTCTAGAGGTGCTGCTATCGCCTCGTTATGGTTCAGCTTAGTTTCCTGATTAACCTGAGTTATTACTTTGAAGTTGCTGGCCCCTCAGCATTTTTCTCTCAACTGTTAGAACTACATGGGAAACAGCCCAGATCTGAATATATATATATATTTTTTTTTTCTTTTCCCGAAATTCCCGAAGATTCCTCGGAGGAGAGCCGCGCCGGCGCCTACACAGCTCGTACTCCTGTGGGTGTGAGCGGCTGAGATGATAAAAAAAAAAAAAAAAGTTGGTTGTGTTATCAGACTTCGTTTTCACTGGTTCCCTACACATTTTACAGATGACTGTGGTTTGTTTTTTGTCTGACTTGCCATGACCGAAATACTGCCAAACTGGCGAACAACAAAAACCCTTCTTTGGAACAATTTCCTCCGCCTCTCCTTGCTGCACATCTTCATGTGCTCTGTGTTGTGGTTTGAGAGGGCGGCGCTTTGTGACGGCATGCCTTGGTCCGCCATTGCGATTGGTTGGGAGGAAGTAGTGACTAGCATAAACCTACATGCTAGGCTACAATGAGAAGGAAGGAAAACTGCGTTTCTTTATTGAACTTTTATCGACTCTCTTTTTTTCTATTGCGCCACACGTCTATCAATCGATATATATCGTTATTGAATTATCGCCCAGCCCTAGGTTATATATATTTAATACATAGCTAAAACAGAATGTAATAAAAAAGTAAAAGTTATAGAAGTCGAAAGGTTTTGTGTGGTAAAAAAACGTATATGAACATCTGCATTGTGTCATTATAGAAGGTTATTGACTCTGAAAGAAGGTCAATCACTGAGAGAAAAGGAGTTTTTATTTGGAAAAACACCAATGGACCGGAGATAGAAGCCAGCTGACTGGATCGCCCCTGTTCTGCAAAGAAAACGGGGATCAAGTGTAAATCAGACAGAAGCTGATCAGTAAAGGTGAGGAGCAGCGGTCTTACAAGGTAGTTGTATTACTCCGGGGAAGGTGACACTCGGGGTTTTCAGAGAGAAGCTGGTGCTGTTGGTTCCGAGCTGATCATTCCTCGCTTGGTTTGAACAATGTTGGAGGGTGGACAGGCAGGTGTGGCTTAGGCAGGAGAGCAGAGGCAGCCAGGCAATGGAGGATTTCCTTGTTCCAGGAACCAATTCACGATCTTGATTACTAAGAGAGAGAGACAGATGCACAGAGTAAGAAACATGCCTAGATAATAACTGGGAAATTCAGCTAGAAGTCGGTCAGGTACCGTGCTGGAAGCTCATTATGAAGATCCCTTGATTAGCGGAGATGAAAACACCTGCAAACCACACCCTGCAGAGAGGAAGAGAGAAAGACCCACGCCAATACAACCTGCACTTATAACCATAAGTATGACACATTGGTCTGTTTTGACAAATCTGTCATTAATGTAATACTAAAGTAGTTGAACCATACCTCACCTACAAAAGGTTGCTAATGTTTACCTTTATTTTCTGATGTAAACAACAAACTATTTGAAACTTTGCTAGACAGAGAGAATGATGTGTGATTTTCCTTCCCTTCTCTCAAAAGGAGATCTGTGTATTGCATACTAATGTAAGCATTGATCTATGAACTGCCTGGTCTCCCTTTTTACTATAGAGTCTATTTTTCCCTTAATTATAAAGTACTTGCTTTCAGAAACCAATCGAGATCATTCATATGAAAGGCATAATTGATCTTCAGATACCCTATATTTGAGACAGACAAGAGTCTACTTATTAAATTTTAGACGAATATTCAGCTTTTAGTTTGATGTTGGGTTGAAAAATGTTTTTACTGCATTTCAAACAAGATGGAATAATATAAGTTTATACCTAAAAGCCTTTTTTTTTTTGCTTTAAAGTAACTTAAAATACAAAAATAGAATAAAAAAAATTGGCTGGAGGGAATATTTAGGATGAACATTTCATCCAGACTGAAAGACAGGCCAACTCTCTTACCCTGATTATTCAGGATCTCCCCACACTGTCTTCCTACTTTCTCAATGGTCATCTGCGAATATAAAGCCTCACAGGGTCAGTTAAACACACTGCCGCTCTTCCATTTATTAATTAAATGACTATACTTCACAACCTGCCCTAACCTGAAGAGGAAGCACTTGATTGGAAGCAGGACCAGGGGCTAAACATTATATTAAAAATTTTCTGGCACTTTGTTAAAGTGGTGTGAATTAAAATGTGATTAAAACTCGTTATCAATTCAGGGAATGTTTTCATTAAGCATTAAAAAGCAGGTACTGCTTTGTGAGGTACAGAAAAACTAACTCTTAAGGTAAGTAACTGGGCAGTTTGAAAATGGCAGAGCTGCTGCATCCTTTGCCACTGCAGCATCAGTTGTTCAAGGCCACATTTACCAGGATGGGGCATGCTTTTTTTTGTGAAGGTACAAAACAAAAGAATAACACAATAATAAAATAAGTGCCATATTTTATCATTAAAAACTATATATTGACTGAAACAAAGAGCCACTTTTATCTTTGAATCTGCTGGTTGTAAATCCCGGTTTTGGCAGATGAATACTGTGTTTCTACCTTATGAAGCTAAAAGTATAATAGCTTATTTTTTTTTATCATTAAGGTTAATCTGTAAAGGTAGAAATTAAATGTCCAAGCAAATTCTCTAATATATTTGTAGTCCAGGACACTTAACAAAAGCAGTCACCCTTGTTGGCCCGTATCTGGAATGTCCACTTCAGAAAGCCGTACATTTATACAGAAAACTAAATAATGGACTGTAACAGGGCATCAGATGCACAGCTCAGTTATTTAATCATTTTATTAAGATGAGGATAAAGATTAAGTTGAGCTGTAGGGTATTTCAAGGTGAGCCAGTATCAAACCAGGTGTAACCAGGTTAATTTAACTCTCACACCCTACAAATGGAGCTGCAGCAACCTGCACAGCTCCTTCAACTCAACTCATTTATGATGTAGAGCTTAGCCACAAGGGGGCAGCAGATGATCAGTCATCCTACTCCAAAGGCGAAGAAGTCCCTGCTCTCTGTAACAGACGGCAGAGTTTTTTCTAGAAAAACCTGGATCATCGCCGTCTGCGGTTGGCGTGGGAGGCAGAAGTAGAGAGCTTACAGTGATAAGCAGAATTGCTGTTGTGTTACCGAATTAATCGGAGAGGATTTTCATTTCTATGATCGTGCTTGGATTTCTTTGAGTTTTGTGTGACCAATATCCCGGTGAGTTTCTAAGTTGCTTACACTGTGTTAGCATGCTAATTGAGTTAGCAAAGTGTCAAATGCTACTAAAGGAGTTCCTTATTTTATTAAAAAACCAGTCGGGAAAGATTTTGAAGGGATTTAAATGAACAAAGTTAAAATATGTGATGGTTTAGGTGCATTTTATTTAACTTGTGCTGTAAATATTGAATTTTTGGATTGTTGTTTCAACCACTTTATTGGTATACTGAGGGGAAAATGTTTTTTATATGTGGTTATTGCTTGAGTAAGTGAGGTTCCTATGAGTTAGATGCAGTAAAAGAGTATTTGTGGAACTAGTCATTAACAATGATCTAATAAATGCAAATTTGTGTAGAGTTAGAGAGTAATTTTCCTGCACATCTGTGCAGGCTGGTTTTTTTCCTTTTGGAGATTTCAGCAGAGGCGAGTCCGTACCTTGCTGCTTCCACTTGTTCCATTGGTTCCCACTGTGGCTGGATCTTCTACTGGGTTGCACCGCCTCCCTTCGTATTGCCTGTTCTGGACCATTTTCCATTCATGGACACTTATTGAGAGGGTGGTAGGACTGAGTGCACTCAGTATTTTTATTTTATTTTTGGACCTTGAACTTTTTATGCCTGAGATCTCAGAGTGTGTTTTTTTAAGTCCTTCAGTGGTTCTAATTGTTGTATATAAGAAGGAAGGACTTGATGGACTTTTATTTTTCTGATGTTGAGTCAACTGTTTACATGTGACTAAGTTCAATACACCTTATATATTTCCGCTAATCTGTTGTCCAGTGTGTTATTTGGGGTGGATATCTGAACCTTTGTGCAGGTGAAAAAACCAACAGCCTCCTCACTGAACCTAGACTAGATTCTCCTTCTGGGTTATAGGTACTACATATTTGTATTACTAATACTAGTAATAAAGGAGGGGTTACAAAGTGGCGAGCCAGCCAGGAGGCTGTTTAAAAGTCCACCCCAGATTTTCACATTGCAGATTTTTAGCAACAAGAAACTGTAAATTTCTTTAATAAAAGACAATTACTTAACAGACTTTTTTTTGGAAGATGGATCTATGTAATAAGTTCAAAGTGCATGGACAAAGCTGTCTGTATGTAACAGGTATAGATCTAAATTACAGTGAGGAAGAGATAGCCGATTTTTTCAAAGTAAATGGAGATGTTACAAAAGTAATCAGGGTTCCTGATGATCCAGATCAACCCAAGGGAAGAACACTTGTACAATATTCATCAGACCGAGCAATATCAAGAATTGATCCTGCCAATCTTGGTGATCAGCCAAGCCCTAAAGACCCCAGTGCAATTTGGCATGTTTCTACCATCCGTGAAATGTGTCAAAAGGAGCTTGGAAGAGAACTAGCCCAGAAATGTCTGGCTGAATTAAGCACACTTGCTGAAAAAAGTAAAGCTGGGTTTTGGGATATGCTACAGCAGGAGATGCACCATATGTGTTCTGATTCTGTATCACCTCAGAGTCCTGACACAAATCTTTACTCACCAGAACAACAAGCTCCCGAACCAATCCTCAACCCTCCGGTCACTGATGGAAGTAATCAAGATTTCCTTGCATCAAACCCATCTGATGCAGCTGCTGGCACCCTACCCCCAAGTCCTCTGAGCCCAGATATGGTAACTCCACCACAGATCCAGAAGGTAACTGTTGAGCATTTCATCCGCAATGATGCAACACCAGCTAGTTACAGCCAAAGCAGAATTAGGACTTTCTCTGGGCGACTGCCAAAGCCAAATGGCGAGGTTGACTATGAAGCCTGGCGCATTCAGGTGGATCTTCTTCTTTCTGACAATTTGTTGTCTGATTCTCAAAAAGTTAGAAGGATTTTGGAGAGCTTGCTTAGCCCAGCATCAGACATTGTCCGGCAACTTGGGACAAATGCACCCCCTAAAGCTTATCTCATTCAGCTTGAGTCAGCATTTGGAGTGGTGGAAGATGGTGAAGAGTTGTTTGCAACCTTCTTAGGCTCCAACCAGAATTCAGGAGAAAAGCCCTCTGTCTTTTTGAACCGGCTACAGACCCTTCTCACTAAAGCTGTTTCTAGAGGGGGAGTTCCTGCAGCTGAGTTTGACAAATATTTGCTCAGACAATTTTGTCGTGGCTGCTGGGATCAGGGCTTAATCGTTGGCCTTCAGCTTGAGCACAAGAAATCCAATCCCCCATCTTTCCCTGACTTGCTGCTGCTTTTGAGGACAGAAGAGGACCAGCGCGCAGCTAAGATGGACAGAATGAAAAAACATTTGGGCAGCACTAAGGCAGCACTACATGCCCACTCAGTTTTAAGTTTGGCACCAATTGATAAGGAGCCTGTTACTACATCTCCGAGTAAACAGGATGCCTGTTCTAAACTAGAAAAAGAAGTTTCTGAACTCCGTAAACAAGTTGCACAATTAAGACACAAAGAAAAAGTGGAGGTCGAACATGAAAAGCTCTTCAGTAGAAATGAGCCAACCCTGCCAGGTGAAATGCTAACTCTTCATGTCAAAAATCCCAATCCCACATATAGGGCCCCCAACCAACCAAAGCCATGGTTCTGCTTTAAATGTGGGGGTGATGGCCACATTGCTGCTAACTGTTCCAGTGACCCCAATCCTGAACTTGTGCAAATTAAGAACGCAGAGCTCAGGGAGAGACGTAAGAAGTTCTGGGCCCAACAGGGAGCTCAGAAATATTCTTTAAACCTGTAGAAGCTCCTGGTGTGGGACAACCAGGAGCTAAGGAATCCAGGTACTTAAGTCCCTTAGTAATGACACTTGATGTAAAGGATTGCACATGGCCTGTGGCCCTCGAGGGGGGTGGTTGGTCAAACAACATCTTACCTGCTGGACTTATTGGTCCCCGCTGCCTCTCCACAGTTTTAGTAGGAAACATAAAATGTGAATCTATTCTTGATACTGGGTCCCAGGTTACAACAATCACAGAGACTTTCCTTTCTAGATACCTGCCATGCCTTTCTGTTCAACCCCTTAGCCATTTACTTGAGATTGAAGGAGCTGGGGGCCAGTCTGTTCCTTATTTGGGCTATGTTAACCTACCACTAACCTTCCCTGACAGTGTGACTGGTAGGGAGGAGGAACTGACTGCTCTTGCTCTTGTGGTCCCGGAGTGTTCATTTAACAGTAGGACACCACTGCTAGTGGGCACAAACATCTTGCTCCAGCTCCACCAACGGGGGATGAGCCATGATGAAATGAGGTTCCTTAAAAGATCAGATAACTTTGCCCTGCTGCTCCAACATGCAGCCAAGGTGCTTAAGAATGAGACCAAACCTCATCTTGTTAAACTGCATGGGAGAAACCATATCACTGTTCCAGCAAAGCAAAAGTTGTGTGTGATTGGAGATGTCAGGATTTCAAAAGCAAATCCACACAGATTTTTTGTTCTCGAACCCTGCGAGGCTCCGACCCTCCCTGGCGGGCTTTTTATCCAGTGTGCACTGATGGACATCACCTGTAAAGCTTCAAGTAAGATTCCTGTAACTCTCACAAACACCACGGCTTACGATGTCACATTGCCTCCAAAGTGTGCCATTGGTGAGGTGTCTGTGGTTCAGTCCATTACACCCTTGAACTTAGACTCACCTGTGTCCAGTGATTCTGGCATGTCTTGCAGAAAGATTGAATTCAACCTTGATGATTCCCCTTTGACTGAGGAGTGGAAACAACGAGTTGTTGAAAAGTTAAACTCCATCCCAGAGGTGTTTGCTTTTGATGAACTCTCTTCTGGTCACACAACTGTTGTGAGGCACCATATCCGGTTGCAGGATGAGACCCCTTTTAAGGAGCGATCGAGACCCATACACCCCAGTGATCGGGAGGCAGTAAAACAGCATCTCACAGATCTCCTTGATGCAGGAATAATAAGAGAGTCCGAGAGTCCATTTGCATCTCCGGTGGTGATAGTAAAGAAGAAAAATGGGAAGATCAGGCTGTGTATTGATTATAGGAAGCTAAATAGTCGAACTATAAAAGATGCATATGCCCTCCCTAACATTGAGGAAACATTCTCAGCCCTGAGTGGAGCAAGATGGTTCTCTGTAATGGACCTCAAATCTGGTTACTACCAGGTGGAGATGGCTGAGCAGGATAAACCTAAGACAGCCTTCACATGTCCCTTGGGCTTCTATGAATTTAACCGAATGCCCCAAGGTGTGACCAACGCACCAAGCACCTTTCAGCGCCTCATGGAAAAGTGTGTAGGGGACCTTCATCTCAATGAGGTTCTCGTCTTCTTAGATGATCTCATTGTTTTTTCAGAGACTCTTGAAGAACATGAGCAGAGACTCATGAAAGTCTTAAATCGTCTTAAAAGCTATGGTCTTAAACTGGCACCTGAGAAATGTCAGTTTTTTAAGTCATCTATGAAATATCTAGGCCATGTGGTGGATGCGCAAGGGGTCCACACTGACCCAGGAAAGATCTCTGCTCTCAAAGATTGGCCTCGTCCTGTGAACCAAGAAGAACTGAAACGTTTCTTAGGGTTTGCTGGATATTATAGACGTTTTGTTGAAGGCTTTTCTAAGATCGCCAGACCCCTTAATTCACTCACTGCAGGATATTTTCCCTCTGCAAAGAGAGGGAAATTTTACAAAAGAACAAGACCCAAACATCATGTCAACACACGGGTTCCTTTTGATGCAAAATGGACACCTGAATGTGAACTTGCTTTCAAAACACTGATTGAGAAACTAACATCAGCTCCTATCCTTGCGTTTGCAGACCCAAGGCTTCCATATGTGCTCCACACGGATGCTTGCTCCAGTGGTTTGGGGGCGGCTCTTTACCAAGAGCAGGATGGGAGGCTTCGAGTGATAGCTTATGCCAGCAGAGGGTTGTCCAAAAGTGAGCAAAACTATCCAACTCACAAGCTAGAATTTTTAGCCTTGAAGTGGGCCATCTGTGATAGGTTTAAAGATTACCTATATGGCGTGGATTTCACAGTTTTGACGGATAATAATCCACTTACATATATACTCACTTCAGCTAAACTTGATGCCTCCGGACACCGTTGGTTGGCGGCCCTTTCAACATTCAGATTTAACATCAAATATCGGGCAGGGGTCACTAATCAGGATGCAGATGGTCTGTCTCGACGACCACATGCAGCGCCTCATGAGGATGAAGACTTCCTTCAGGAAAAAGAGAGGATTAGTGAGATGGCAAAACGACTAACAGAAGGAGAAAAAAGAGAGATCTCCGCTGATGTAATCACAGCAGTAAGTCAACATCACTCTGTCTCCTCACTGCAACTTCCAGTTCTAGCAGAGTCTCTTGCTGTGGATGCTCTCTGCTTACCAACTATGTTTGTTGATCAAGGCCAGAGTACCCTACCTGGAATGACCAAAATCAGTTGGCATAAAGTACAAAGAGAAGATCCAATAATCCGGAAGATGATCTCCATGGTGGGAGGTGCGCAAAAGCCGAGCTTTAAAGCTGTCCATGCAGAGCACCCTGAAGTCAAGCTGTTGTTAAGACAGTGGAACCGGCTTGAGCTTAAGGATGGGATTCTTTACAGAAGGTGCATTGATAGGGGAAGGGTAACCTACCAGCTTGTGTTGCCTAAACTGTATAGAGAAAGAGCTCTTCGGGGGTTGCATGATGAAATCGGACATTTAGGACCAGATCGTGTGCTCAGTCTTGCCAGAGCAAGATTTTATTGGCCAGGAATGAAGCAGTCTATTGAAGAAAAATGTCAAACCTGTGAAAGGTGTTTTCGGAGAAAAGCTCAGCCACAAAAAGCAGCACCTATGAGTAACATAACAACAACTTTCCCACTACAATTGGTCTGCATGGACTACTTGTCCTTGGAGCCTGACAGCCATGGCACCAAAAATATTTTGGTTATTACAGACCATTTTACAAAGTTTGCTGTGGCTGTTCCGACAAAGGATCAGAAAGCCCGGACGGTTGCCAAGGCATTTTGGGAAAACTTCCTGGTTCACTATGGGTTTCCAAGTCGTATCCATAGTGATCAGGGAAGGGACTTTGAATCAAACTTAATCAAGGACCTCTGCTTATTGATTGGAGCAGAAAAAGTGCGTACCACACCATATCATCCCCAGGGGAACCCAGTGGAGCGTTTCAATAGAACACTGTTGAGCATGCTCGGGACCCTGGAGGAAAATGACAAACAAAACTGGAGAGAGTTTATCAAACCCCTTGTACATGCGTACAATTGTACGAGGAATGATACTACAGGGTTTTCCCCATATGAGCTCATGTTCGGCAGGCAGCCAGCCCTCCCAATTGACCTCATATTGGGTACTGATATTCAAGCAGAAACTCATGAAAATCATTCAGATTATGTGCAGAAGCTGCGTCACCGGCTACAAGAGAGTTACAAGCTGGCTGCAGAAAACTCTAAAAGGTCAGGTGAGAAAAACAAGCTGCGATTTGATGCTAAGGTGAGAGCTGCTGAGTTGGTTGAAGGAGATCGGATCCTTGTGAGGAATGTCAACTTGCGAGGAAAGCAGAAATTAGCTGACAAATGGGAAAAATCCATTCATGTTGTGGTGAGGCGAATCGATGATGGCCCAGTATATGTTGTTAAGCCTGAGAGAGGCAATGGTCCTCACCGTACGCTCCACAGAGATCTTTTACTGCCATGTGGATTTTTGCCAGTGGAAGAAAATTCAAAGGAAGGACGACAGTCAGGCAAGCCCAAGGAAATGAACTTACGTAGCAGAAAAGTCGCAAATCAACAAGTGGAGCTTGAGGATCTAGATGAATCAGAGGGTGAAGAGGAGGAGAGTTATTGCTTTGAACCCCCACAGCTCACATCATGGGGTCCATATGTGCAAGAGCTAAATAGGACAAATCCAAACTTGATGAGCACCGTGGGTCCAAGGTTGACAATACACCAGCGAGCGTCATCGGACCTAGTGACCTCTGACGAGTCAACAAATTCTCACAAGGTTGTGCCAGAGGCAATGAGTTCTCAGGATCCATTGTGTGTTCAAAAACATGACCACATCGTTATAGAGATGCCAGAATGCGAGCCTCCTCAGGAAGTGGACGATATCAGAGTTGTCTCACCAGAGACAGGTGAAATTGGGACACATTCATTTGTCCAGCAGCATGATTATACTTCTTCAGACACCATAACAGCAGAGGAAAGCAGGACTGTGATCCAACCATGTGAGCCCAGGCGGTCCCAAAGGGAGAGACATCCACCATCTAAGTTCACCTATGATGAGTTGGGGAAACCTCTGATCCTCGCTCTTACCTTATTCTTCGAACATCTGCAGGCTGTCATCTCTCCTACTGACTCAGAAAGCTTTTCTGGGGTGTAAGGTGCATGCAGGGACTCATGCAATCAAGAGGGGGAGAGTGTAACCAGGTTAATTTAACTCTCACACCCTACAAATGGAGCTGCAGCAACCTGCACAGCTCCTTCAACTCAACTCATTTATGATGTAGAGCTTAGCCACAAGGGGGCAGCAACTGATCAGTCATCCTACTCCAAAGGCGAAGAAGTCCCTGCTCTCTGTAACAGACGGCAGAGTTTTTTCTAGAAAAACCTGGATCATCGCCGTCTGCGGTTGGCGTGGGAGGCAGAAGTAGAGAGCTTACAGTGATAAGCAGAATTGCTGTTGTGTTACCGAATTAATCGGAGAGGATTTTCATTTCTATGATCGTGCTTGGATTTCTTTGAGTTTTGTGTGACCAATATCCCGGTGAGTTTCTAAGTTGCTTACACTGTGTTAGCATGCTAATTGAGTTAGCAAAGTGTCAAATGCTACTAAAGGAGTTCCTTATTTTATTAAAAAACCAGTCGGGAAAGATTTTGAAGGGATTTAAATGAACAAAGTTAAAATATGTGATGGTTTAGGTGCATTTTATTTAACTTGTGCTGTAAATATTGAATTTTTGGATTGTTGTTTCAACCACTTTATTGGTATACTGAGGGGAAAATGTTTTTTATATGTGGTTATTGCTTGAGTAAGTGAGGTTCCTATGAGTTAGATGCAGTAAAAGAGTATTTGTGGAACTAGTCATTAACAATGATCTAATAAATGCAAATTTGTGTAGAGTTAGAGAGTAATTTTCCTGCACATCTGTGCAGGCTGGTTTTTTTCCTTTTGGAGATTTCAGCAGAGGCGAGTCCGTACCTTGCTGCTTCCACTTGTTCCATTGGTTCCCACCGTGGCTGGATCTTCTACTGGGTTGCACCGCCTCCCTTCGTATTGCCTGTTCTGGACCATTTTCCATTCATGGACACTTATTGAGAGGGTGGTAGGACTGAGTGCACTCAGTATTTTTATTTTATTTTTGGACCTTGAACTTTTTATGCCTGAGATCTCAGAGTGTGTTTTTTTAAGTCCTTCAGTGGTTCTAATTGTTGTATATAAGAAGGAAGGACTTGATGGACTTTTATTTTTCTGATGTTGAGTCAACTGTTTACATGTGACTAAGTTCAATACACCTTATATATTTCCGCTAATCTGTTGTCCAGTGTGTTATTTGGGGTGGATATCTGAACCTTTGTGCAGGTGAAAAAACCAACAGCCTCCTCACTGAACCTAGACTAGATTCTCCTTCTGGGTTATAGGTACTACATATTTGTATTACTAATACTAGTAATAAAGGAGGGGTTACACTAAGCAACAGAGCATACAGCGGTAAAACCCGCCGAAGGGTGGACCTGTTCGAATTTACAGCCAAAACTCTTCCGGCCTCCTTATTTTCAAGGACTTCGAAGGATCCAGTCAAGGTAGACCGCGTCCTTGGAGGATGCGTCCTAGGTTTTCGAACAGAGCCTCTGATTAAGAACAGGGCTGCCCGCACTGACGCGGCTCAGGGATTACGTCACACGCAGCGTCGAAAAAATCAGGACATTTCCTCACTTTCTAAAAAAAACCCGGGACGCCCGGGACAGGATGTGAAATACGGATATGTCCCGGAAAATACAGACGTTTGGTCACCCTAGCTCATGGCGAGGTTGAGATGTAATCCTAGGCAACACCACAATTTAGATCAGGAAAAGGCAGCTGCAAAACTACAAAGCAACAAAAGAAATACATTAATTTTACTTTTCTGTAGCCTATCTTTACTGTCCAAACATTAGCTTCACTAAAATGTTTTCACTGACATGCAAATACACACAAATATTCAACGAAAAAGATCTCTGTAGATAAAAACAAATACAAACTCTCTGTTACGATATTGCCCATCAGAGACTTTTTCTCCTGTAAGGACAGAGTTGAGCCACTGGAAGTCCCGCAAACCTTCAGGAATCAGGACATACTTTATACCCTGTCAGAAAGAAGAGCAAGACAAACTTGTTTTACAGTTTATGGGAAGTGCACGCAATAGTGCACATATTTGTGCTTTTATACCTCATCATGCGGAGCTGCCTTGTATCCAAACTTGCCGTAAAAATAAGGGGCTGATGTTATTGAGTGAGCCGTGTGAACATACACTGATGTTCTGCTCCCGACATCTTCCTCAAAACCATTGGTCACTGCAGCATTCATCCTGTCACACAAATTAAATAAAGACTTTCAGCTGTTGACCTGCTGTTAAGTTGCTTACTACAGCAGTTTTAAAATATTGTTAGATGGTCACAACCTGAAATATCTGGAAAAACTGACAAATACTAGGATTTGACTGATAAAATGAGAACCTGAAGAAGTGGTTAAAGAAAGAAAATCATCAGACTTTCATTTTCCAGAAAAATCTTTTTCCAATAACACTTTGTTTATAATATGTCATTTTGAGAAATAATAAAACAAAAAATGCTAAATAAACAGGTTTGAATTGTTTTATTGTGAAATCTAAAACTAACAAAAGCTTCTTTCGTTTTTAGATCAAGTTAAACATTACCTATTTTAATGCAGCGATGGTTATTTTTAAAATAGAAATAACTTTAAAATTTAGAAACATTGGTTCCTGCCTGCAACAGCTAAAGTTAAGTACGGTAGTTAAGTTTAGTCTATTTTGCAACCTTAATAAACCTCCTCTTACCTTTTTAGTGAATCCAAAGAATAAAATAAAGCATAAAAAACGGCAGCAAGCCAAAAAACTTTCAAACTTTCCAAGGCGACCTTTGAACTAATTTACAAGGTGAATAAAGTTACAATCAAAGGTGGTCCGGTCACTAATAAAGGAAGGCCTTTTCATCATGACACGTCCTCATGGTTTAAAAACACCACATGTAACAGATGCCAACATGTGCTTAAAATAAGGATCACTTGTTCCCTTTTTTTCCAACGGGAAATAATAACCATAAGAGAAGCACAGAAGGTTAATGGTTACAGATTTCACAAGCCATATAGTTAAACTTTAATAATACTAATATTTATATTTGTTGTTTTTTTTTTATTGCATAGCTTTACTAAATCAGATTAAAGTATGCATTTTCTATTAGGTGCTTTGTAATAATGTACTTATACCACCCTTGAGCCTGAATTACATAATTGGAATATAAAGTTCCAGAGGTACTCAGAGCTATGACTGCTCATACTGCTATAAGGACAATGAATCAGCATTTAAAAACTAAACATACTTTTATTTAATGACTGTCCTCCTCCAGTGTTTGTGATGTGCAAAGGTGTGACAGAACAGACTTCAAGCCGACTCTTTCCGCAACGACACGGCGTCTCTCCCCTTCCCGTTCAGGACCTAGAAGCTACACCAACGCGCATCTCCAGACCTCCTGTGTTACATTAACACACAGCCTACCCTCTATATAGTATAAAGCTATATTCTATATATTCTATATAGTATATTGTATGTTTTATATTGTATATAGCTATAGATTCTTAATTCTAGATATATACCTAATTTGTCTGCACCATCAACACCAAGTCAAATTCTTCCTAAGTGCAAACCTATTTGGCAATAAATCTAATTCTGAAATTTCTGAAATTTTTCTGAATTTTATTTTTTTTTTTTTATGTTAGTTATGCTTTAAATAGTGTCTGCATAAAATGTACCTAATATGAGGGATGTAGTTACATGAAATATTATAATTTACAGAATTTCACATTTAAACAGTTAAATTTCCTTTTTGAAATTTCCTGGGGGGGAGTAGTTTTGCTTTACAATAATTCTACATTTACTCAAATGATATCAGTGTGTGAGCAACCAACTCTTACATAAGTAACATTTCTGATTACTCTGTCCACCACAACACAATAACCAGGTATTCAAGATCAGGTAAAAATACCATAAGCGATAAATATTGTTGATGGAAGTTCTTTATCCTTTCCTGATATAATCTTTAACCTACAGACAGGATTTCTTTTAGAGTTATAATGAAAATTATCATTTAGAAAACTTTTTATTCTTCTCTGGATTAGTGATTTTGTATGGAAGCCGAGAGCGGTCGTAATTCTTTGTCTTCTCGAGATAATGACATAACTATCTCATTATAATTAAGAAAACTCCACCAGCCGCCACTGACTTGAGTGATTATTTTACCAAGTCCCTTTTACTCTTGATTCATTTCTTGCATGATTAGTTTCTACTTTTACTTGAGTAAAAAAAATGTTAAGGTAGTGCTACTGTTACCTGTGTATTGTTTTGGGTACTTTTTTGGTGTTAATTACAAAAAAAAACACAGAGAGACATTTTCTATTTTTTGTCTTTTACTTTATTAGCACAAAATGCTGATGTCAGTGAAGAAGTTGTTGGTCAACTGTAACGAATATCCCTGAGGTGTCTTTACAAAGTCTCTCTGTGATTGCCTGACAGCACTGATTGTTGCCATGGTTATTTGGACTTGCAGGGGGTCCCTTCGCGGTATCTTTACTCATTAAATGTTTATAGGTTGAGCCGGTCAAAATACATGTAAGGCTGTGTCATTTTGTCAATCTGTGTACCTGAGTTTTGATAATCTGAATTCTGTTGTGTGCCCTTTCTAAATTTCGCCCTACCAAAAATTTTAGCATGTAATTGTGCAGCCTTTTCTACCTTGGGCCCCAGGTTTTCGTTTTTTTGTGGTTTGTTTAGTATTACCTTGTTGTTAATTTATGTTTTACTAGGTTTTGCCAAATTCATTTGTTCGTTTTTTAGTTTATTTTCATGTTCTGTTCTTTCTATTACTGGATTTTTTTTTATTTTTTTTAGATTTCTGGTTATCTCTTCATCATTATTGATCACTTCTTTTTGTTACAGCTCTGCAAATTTTCCACATATTTAATTACTGTTCTGGTTTGATAGTAATTTCTACACCTTTGCCGCTGTATTTAAGCTCCCAGGTTTTCATTTCTCTTTGCTTAATTCTTCTGTATGCTCTCCTATTTGCTCTCTTTGGTTGTGTATTTTGTCATATTTGTTCATTACTTTGTGTTTAGCTTCTGATGTTTATCTTATGTTCATGTTAAACTTGAAGCTCCTTTGTGTTTGAGTTACGCTTCCCTCTGTGTTGACTGTGTAATGAGTCTCTTTCCCATAGCCTTGATGCTAGCACTCTCCAAAAGCTGTGCTCTATTCAAATGATTAGTTTTCATGTCACTGATAAAATCTTCTCTGCATAGAAACTCCCTTGTTTTATTTGTTCTTTGATACAGTACATGCTTGTGCTACGGTCCTCTGCCTTCCATGTCCTGCTCTCCTCATATAAAAACCTGTATGCTCTGCCAATTTTAATTTGGGCCCTCGTTCAAACAACACCACTTAACATCCACAATTCCACCCCTGATCTGTCTGTTGTGTTTAGACTGTGATAATTGGATGAGTTTTTTTTGTTTTTTTTACACAGGATTAGATTTATGCAGAGTAAAGGTTGTTGCAAGTGACTCAATGCTACATGTGAAATTTTGTTATAAACTTCATAGCTATCAATTGTTAACTTTATTGTGGTTATCACATCTAAGACACAATAAAGATTGTGGTTGTAAAGTGATAACCTGGGGAACTTTAGCGGGTATAAACAATTTGGTATCTTTTGTTGGTAGGTACTAAATTTCAACAACCTGTTAATTTATTACCAGCTTATTATGACAAACTTGTAATTTGTGGGTTTTCCAACTGTCACTAAGCTGCTCAACTATGTCAACCGACAGGTTTAGGCGCTGTTATTTTCCTACCCAAAATTAGGATGAATATCAACGAAACTGTAATTCAGACTTCCTCAACCGTGAACACACCTCTCATTGTCAAAAGAATTTTAGAGAATAGTTAAAGTTGATATTGCATCAACAAGTTGGACCTTACAATTTAACAACAGGATGCCATCAAAGTTTGTGCACATGTAAAACACTGGTAAACACATCCAGTAATATTGTTTATTTATCCTCAATATACTGACAAAAAATAGATAATCAGTAAAATCTTAACTGCCTGGATGCCTTTCTTGACATTACCTGACACTGTGACCAACCTCATGCAAGAATGTGACTGAGAAAACATTCAGTTCACGTTAAAAATCCCAACTGCGCAAGCGACTAAAACAGCCTATTTAATCTGATTTTTTCTTACCGAAAGACGTAGTCATGAGCATCAATCTCGGCGCCCATTTTTGAGCCGTTCATGATGCCTGCAGTTCCCACCACAGCACAGTGCACACAGCCATCCCCACCTGGTTTTGGGAGAAGCAGTGGTTCTTTTGGCTTTGGGATGAGTTTCACTACAGGCATTACATCTGAAAAAAAAATTTATTTAAATCTGTCAGATGATAAAATAAGGGAAGGAGATGAGCACTTGTTTGGGGGATTACCAAAATCTAGCTGTGAGATAAAGACAGTGATCCAAAAAACACACCAGAAGTGATTTTTAAATTAATAAGAAGCTATAATTAAGATGTTTAAACCTCTCTCAAATACCCTGAACCTGACTTAAAATGTTAAAATGTGTGTAAAAAGGCAGCAAACCAACCAGTTTAAATAATCTAGTAATCTTGGGTAAATAGTCAGGTATGAGGGACTGTGGAAAAAACAGCATGATGCAACATGGGAAGGGAGGCTTAAAAAAATAAGTATTAGAGGGGAGGACTTTCGTTTCTCTTTGCCCCAATAGTGCTGCTTAAAAAAAGGATAATATATTTTTAAAATTGTAGATTTTTTTTTTCAGTTCCTACATTAAGAGTGAGTAAACACTCTAAAAAATTAGCAAGTTTAAAGACAACGAGGGACACAGGTTTCTTAAATTAAGAAAGCGTGAGTTACTCAGTTTAGGAAAATACCTACCGTCATACTTCATTTCCATAAAACCAAAAGGATTGTTAAAATGTGAAAGTCGGTTCCACTCTCTAATGTTAAAGTTGTTTTTGTGCATATACATGCGTATGTTGGGAAGGAAGGCTTTCTGGAATTCCTGATCCTTGGAGTTACGCAGAGACTGCGGACATGTCTGCACAGAAGATTAAATGAATTACAATAACCCAAGCAAAGGTGATTCATAGAGGCAGGGCAAGTTTATTTATACAGTGCATTTCTGAAGGGGAAAAACATGAAATGATCAAAGCAATATGCTAGTTCCAGTCAAAGTGTGATTAAGGTACTTCCAGGACATCTGTTATTTTGAAGTAAGAAAGCTATTTTCCCCCACTGCCACACTGAAAAGGCTATTTTATAGTTTTTAATAAGATAAGATAATAAGAATAGGGCTGGGGAATGCAAAGGGGGAAAAAGAAGGGATAATCCTAATTTCCAGGGGGATTCTTGGGATTAATTAACAAATGACAGTACTTTAAACAATTTAAATAATATAATGAAACAAATTGTTCAGAGATTTGGAAATTTGCATTTTGCTTTAAATTGCTGTTAAAAATACAAGCAAAAAAATTATCCATATTTATGTTTGGAAGATAATCAGGTCCAAATTATTTATCCTGGTGGATAACGATTTAAAGTAATTATATAATATATTTCAGGTTTTTCAGTGGATTCCCAGCTCATTTCACACATTTGTGATGAATGTGAGCCTGCCTCAAATTCATCACAAATGTGCTTAAAATTAAGGCGATGGTAATGGGGCTCATAAAAATGAGAACTCATCAGAGAAAATATAGAAACATGCAAAGTTTGTTTGGCACCCTTTTTTCAGTTGATTAATGTGAAAGGTGCAACTAAATTAATAATTTTCACAATTCCATTTATCAAAATGTAAGTTAAAAAAAAGATTTAAAAAATTTTAATGTGGAATTTTTGGTCAGAATGTAAATAAAAGCATATATATATATATATATATATATATAATTTTTTTTTTTAACCATACTTAGAATCCTTTTACATTCTTATCTTCTAAGAACCATCTTTCTAATTTCCAATCGGAGGCAAACTTCTTGGTTTAATGATATAAAAATCCACCAGTGGTATAAATCATATATATATATAAATGATATTTGTGCATGTAGTTGGGAAATAGTACAACATATTTTCAGGCAGCTAATTTCTTTGTATTGCTCCCCATCAAAACATTTTCTCAGTGTTTTTAGGTACGACTTTGTTTTTTCCTCTGGTATACTATAAAAAAAACTTAGTTGGATAGATTCTGAATCAAATAATTCTCTAAGGCAGGTCTAAATTTATAAAAGCTTTTTTTCTATATCCATAAAAGTAAAGGCAGCTTTTTAGTGCTTTTTTAAAAGGCAGGACTATGTTAACGCTTGACGAACACAAAGGCTCCAGACCTGTAAAACTTGTTATTGATTATTGGACACTGAAACCTTTCCTCTATGAATTTGAAAAGTTAACAACAAAGACAAACCAAGGAGGATTGTTAGTTTCATGAAATATAAAATGTCTGATATCCGATAATGACTAATGCACATAGTGAACTTTAGTTCATCTAAATACACTGATTTACAGTGATATCCGGATTGAGGCTCTAGCTCGGATAACAGCTCAGCACACAAGGTAGGCAAATATTTATTCAATCCACCCGAAAGACAATCCCGGTAAAAAAATAGCCTTTTCTTTCATCTAAACCCAAAAGGAACTGCCAACATCTGCAAACTAAACAGATATATAGATATATATATATTTTTTGTCTTTTTATCATGTCTCAGTAAGCTTACCACCGGTCTTGGGGGAGCATCCAAGTTGTAAATATCTTCAAAGCTCCACTGAGGAAGCTTCTTGAATCTTTTTTTCAATAAAATGGGTATTGGAGTCTCAGAAGGAGTTGAAGTCACTGAAACATTCCTTTGAGATGTGTCTGCTGTTGGACTTAACTTTTCCTTGTTTTGCAATAAATCGCCAATTTTCAACAAGTTGTATTCTCCACTGACTCTGTTTCTTTCTGAGATGGCCGTCCAGGTAGAGTCGAAGCTTAAGGACATTTAAAAAGAAATTTTTTACAAAGATCAATCATGTAATTTGGAAACAAAAGATTACGTCAACAGTATTCATTTATAAGAAAATAAATAAACAATTCACATTTTCCCTTACCCCATTACAGAAAATAAAAAGGTACTTACTCTTTTTTTATGGTCAGATTTTCCAGTGCAAGCAGAAAAAAAATAATGGTGGCTGTTAACACCAGCACCAAAGAAATAAATTTAGTTGATCGACCAATCATGGCTAGAAAGCGGAGGTTTTGCTGCTCAGCTAAACAGCAATTTAGAATCAGCTCTCTAAGGGTGCTGTTTAAAGGAAGTCTTTTTTTAAAGTGACATTTCAGGGAGCAGGAAAGAAATATACTTATGTCATAGCATCAGGTTAGTCAAACCAGAACGGTGAGAAAAGTCAAGTGTCAATGCTAGTTCATTCCACTTAACCACTCTATTGACCACCCCATTGAAATACAAGATACAGGGCATGGCCAAAGCAGGGTGTTGTGACCAAAGGCCACTAAGAGACAAACATTGTAAAAACTTTGCCTGCAAGCATATCATTTTAATATACCATAAAGGGAAACATTTGAAAGGAAGAAACAATGACCTTCTGATATCAGTTCTGCAATGCCATCTAGTGTGGACTGGTTTTTATGACAGCGTGGAAACTTTAATCCAGGGATGTCAAACTGGTTCCAGAAAGGGCCGTGTGGCTGCAGGTTTTCTTTCCAACCAAGCAATAGCACGCATGACTGCATTCATCACATCAAGTGAGTCCAGTCTTAACATGATGACTTGATGAGATGAATGGAATCAGATCCTGGTCCCCATATTGTAAAGCTATTTTCTTTAAGCCAGGGTTAGGTTTTGGACTGAGGTGTAAATTCAGTTTAGGTAAATGCTAGGGTTAGGTATATCTTGGTAATAGTTAGGATAAGGGTCTGGGCTAGGCCATATAAAATGAATTAAAGTCAATGAAATCTCCCCATATGTCATGAAACAAGAATATGTATGTGTTTGCTTGTGAAAAAATATACAAGTTCTGTTTGGATAGTTGGTATAGCTAAATGCAGACTTATACAAAAAGATGGATTTAAAGCTTACATACAGGATAAGTCCTGCACTTCATCAGCAGTCTTTCTAACTTTGCTTTTTTAGTCATCTAATTCCAATCCTAAAACAAAACAGCTTAAAAAAGTATTAATTCTTTCAGAAAAGATGTTATCACATCCCTTGCACCTTTATTCTTGCATTTCCAGTTTTCAGTAAAAGAAAAATATTTACTCATAGTCATAAGGCATTAGCTTACATACTATCTCAGCTGATTGTCGATCCCTCTGGAGGAGGGGTGTGGATTTATTTCACTCTTTTTACTCTTTTTGTACTACAAAAAACATGGGAATTTACTCAGCTTTATTGACAGCTATTTAATGGGTAATATACAGACAAGCATTACCCTGTAAGACCAGGTAATTGTCTCTTATATCACCCTTGGCACCAAAAGCAACCCACATGCTTTTTAAATAACGGCAATACGTTTTTTATGTTGAGGTGGAGGAAATTTTATAATAGGATATTGAGGTGTGTTGGTGAAATGGCCATCTGGTGTGGCGTTTTTTTTTTTTTTTTCTAATTCCCAACCTTTGGACTTTGGTTGCCTGAGGCATATTCCTCTGTCTTCTGCTTGTTTTTTAACTGTGGAAGATTATTTACCCATCCATGGAGCTATTATTTGTATCTTTAGAGAATCGCTGGTGCCTGTTTCCAGCTGCCTTGGTAAGAATTAAACGGGCTAATACTCCATCAGGGCCACAGAAATCAATAGTAAATTTCTAAAATTTAGTAAAGTGAAAGACCAGACTTTGAATAGGTTCATTTATATCTCAATCTGCAAGAGATTTAACCCGTAAGCTCTACCTTACCTGTAGCAGAGAGCTTGTTGGAACTGGTGGAAGGTTTACAGTGGTTGTACAGACTGAGACTGCTACTTTATCAATCTCTTTCCTAGTTTTTTCCAGGCTAGCAGGGGGTATTTCCATTCTGTTTGAATGGATTCTATATCAAAGCCAGCTTGCAGGGATCTGCATAGGTTTAGAACAAATGTGGAGTTTAGCTCAAACTGCTTAAATGGTGACAACAGCCCTTCCTGGGTTAGCCTCAAAGTTGTGCTGTGTGACTGCTGATGGGCTGTGTTTGTAGCCATGTGACATGTCTGTCACAGTCTTGGTTCTGTTATCTTTTCTTTTGAGTATTCAGTTTAACTTTGCTCCATGTTTTCTAGTTTTATTGGTTTAATTCTTATTTTGTTGTGTTTTCTGGTTATATCTCAGGTTTTTATTTGTTGCACGCTTGTGTTGATCTCCTTTTTCCATAGCCCTTTAAACTGCTCTCTTCACACCTGCTCCCAATCTGCTCGTTAGTCCCCTCTTTGTTCAGTTAGCCATAAATACTCTCCTTGTACAGTTCGTCGGTGCTGGTCCTCGTCTAACTCCGTCTTACCTCGTTGTGACTGTTTTCCCCTGAAATCTCCATGGTTATGGTTCGTTTTTCTTGTTGGGTTTTTGGATCCCTGCTTCTGTTTTTTATAAACCACTCATTAAATCTACAAGAAACTCACCTCTGCCTTCCTGCCTCTGCATTTGGGTCCTCAAACCACAACCTAACCCTGACAATGTCAACTGCACATAACAAGATAGAAAGGTACAAAAAAAAAAAAAACTCCCATAAAGTGTTGCTGCATTTTTTTTTTTTTACTTTCTACTACATCTAGATAATTTACTTGTTTTCTTTTTTTCAATAATTGGTACCAAAGAGAATTTAGTTGATTCTGAATCTGGGTGCACTGTGTTTTTTATTTTTATTTTTTTATGAGGATTTGGATGTAAATTATACCTACGACTCCTCTCTAAAGAACATTTGACTCAGATAAAAAACAAAAAAAAAAAACATAAAGACAGAGTAGATTTTATACATTATATTAAAAGTGCTTTTTTTTGCTGCTGAATTAACACCAAAAAAAGTAAACAGATTTGACAATTTGACTATTTTTGCAAATCCTGAATTAAATAATGACTTCAGAATAATACATTGATAAACATAGAAAATAATCTTCATTTCAGCAGCTTTAGCTTTAAAAATATTTGTGCCACTTGTAAAGATTTTAAGTCTGTGTTAGCTGCAAAATAAGCCTAAAGTAAGGACAGTTGTAACAACAATAATGCCCAACAATAATATTTTGTCTAGATGATAAAACAGTTCTCCTATATTCGTCATGCTCAACCAGCCAGCTTTGATTAATCACAGATCCTTTGCTTTTCCATTACATCCAAAAAATTAAAAACAATCCTCTGGACTTGGTTTCCGAGTTTGATTTTTTTGGAATGACTATGACTTGGATGACTGAGAACCTCCACCACCATTTTCCATTACTTGTTATCCAGTTCTTTGATACAGCTTCATTATTTTTTTATCATGAAATCTTTTCCACAGATTCTTCTCTAAAATGAGGTCGTGGTTAATATAGAAAATTACTTCGCTCCTCAGATGCTTTTCAACGTAGTAGCTCGAGTATTTGTTGTAGTCGTCAGTCATGAATCCATAGGCACTCACCTGTAAAAAAGAGTGAAAAAGTAGAGTTTTAACATTTTACGTAAAAAAAAAAACAGTGTGCATAAAGGATTCTGCTTTATTTAGCCTGCTTTAGACCTTTAAAAGCTTCTTTATATTATTGATCAAAACAAAGGCACCTAAAACCTGAGATTTCTTTTAGCGGTCCAGTTTGACAAGTAGAAAAGGCATTCTTTAGAAGAAAAAAGAAGGCTGAATCCATTTTTTGTTGTTTACTAAAAGCTGCAGAAAATACTACAATACAGGAGGTAATTGTAAAAAAAAATTAACTTTTGGAAGTATGAGTGTAGATGATTGACCTAAAGATCAAAATCCATCATAAACAGACTTTTTAATTTTGAAATCTAGATATAGATATAAGTGCAATAGTCATATTCAAAACAATTGTAAAAAAAAATCCAGTTAATTTATTTCATCACCTCAAACTGCTAGATTAATAATATGAAGATTGATGTGCTTAGGTCTATATATGTGTTATATATTAAGGTTTAGCTTATGGCTATTTAAAACAAAACATTTCATTTTGGAATATAACATCAGACTGATAGAAACAATTTTTAAAAACATACAGGTGCTGGTCATAAAATTAGAATATCATGAAAAAGTAGATTGATTTCAGTAATTCCATTTAAAAAGTGAAACTTGTATATTATATTCATACATTACATACAAACTCATATATTTCAGATGTTTATTTTGTTTAATTTTGATGATTACAAATGACAACAAATGAAAATCTCAAATTCATCATATCAGAAAATTAGAATATTGTGAAAAGGTTCAAAATTGATGGCCCCTGGTGCCACACTCTAATCAGCTAATTAACTCAAACCACCTGCAAAAGCCTTTAAATGGTCTTTCAGTCTAGTTCTATAGGCTACACAATCATGGGGAAGACTGCTGACTTGACAGTTGTCCAAAAGACGACCATCGACACCTTGCACAAGGAGGGCAAGACACAAAAGGTCATCGCTAAAGAGGCTGGCTGTTCACAGAGCTCAGTGTCCAAGCACATTAATAGAGAGGCGAAGGGAAGGAAAAGATGTGGTCGAAAAAAGTGTACAAGCAAGAGAGATAACCGCACCCTGGAGAGGATTGTGAAACAAAACCCATTCAAAAATGTGGGGGAGATTCACAAAGAGTGGACTGCAGCTGGAGTGAGTGCTTCAAGAACCACCACACACAGACGTATGAAAGACATGGGTTTCTGCTGTCGCATTCCTTGTGTCAAGCCACTCTTGAACCACAGACAGCGTCAGAAGCGTCTTGCCTGGGCTAAAGAGAAACAGGACTGGACTGCTGGTGAGTGGTCCAAAGTCATGTTCTCTGATGAAAGTAAATTTTGAATTTCCTTTGGAAATCAAGGTCCCAGAGTCTGGAGGAAAAGAAGAGAGGCACTTCATCCACGTTGCTTGAAGTCCAGTGTAAAGTTTCCACAGTCAGTGATGGTTTGGGGTGCCATGTCATCTGCTGGTGTTGGTCCATTGTGTTTTCTGAGGTCCAGGGTCAACGCAGCCACATACCAGGAAGTTTTAGAGCACTTCATGCTTCCTGCAGCTGACCAACTTTTTGGAGATGCAGATTTCATTTTCCAACAGGACTTGGCACCTGCACACAGTGCCAAAGCTACCAGTACCTGGTTGAAGGACCATGGTATCCCTGTTCTTAATTGGCCAGCAAACTCTCCTGACCTTAACCCCATAGAAAATCTATGGGGTATTGTGAAGAAGAAGATGCAATACACCAGACCCAACAATTCAGAAGAGCTAAAAGCCACTATTAGAGCAACCTGGGCTATCATAACACCTGAGCAGTGCCACAGACTGATCGACTCCATGCCACGCCGCATTGCTGCAGTAATACAGGCCAAAGGAGGCCCAACTAAATACTGAGTGCTGTACATGCTCATACTTTTCATGTTCATACTTTTCAGTTGGCCAACATTTCTATAAATCCTTTGTTTTTATTGGTCTTCAGTAATATTCTAATTTTCTGATATGATGAATTTGAGATTTTCATTTGTTGTCATTTGTAATCATCAAAATTAAACAAAATAAACATCTGAAATATATGAGTTTGTATGTAATGTATGAATATAATATACAAGTTTCACTTTTTAAATGGAATTACTGAAATCAATCTACTTTTTCATGATATTCTAATTTTATGACCAGCACCTGTAAATATGGACTTATTAAAGTAGGTCTACTGCATGCTTAAAGTTTTTTTTTTTTTTCTTTTCTGCATAAACCACAAAGTCCATTCAGGACTTAATAAGGCACAACTCGAAGGCTGATGCCCAATTTTTTCAGGAATACTTTTCAAAATAAAAAAACATCTGAAACACCAGGAGTGGATTTCTTTTTCAGATCTATTAGCCTGTCTTTTTAGATGTGTCTCAATCCTTTTCTGCATCTCTAACCTGAAAGATTTGCTTGTTCCTCTATGCAGAATATTTCAACCTAGACAGATGGAGAGAAACTGTGAACTCTGTGATTCTTTTACACAGACTTTGACTAGACCATTCCAACACATGAGCCTGCTTAAATTCAAACCATTCAATTTTAACTTTGGTAGTAAACATTTTAATGGCTAAAAACCAACATCAAGACAAACATTTGTCCCATTCTAAAAAATTTTTAAGTTGTAATAGTCTTTTCTTTAGAGGCTTGTACTCCATACTTTTCCGAATCATTTTTTAGCAGCTGTTTTCCTTACAGCAAGGTGCTGCTAAACCTTTCTTTAAGCATATGTGAGTTGTTCTTTCCAAACACTGTTTGGCCAAAAGTAATTTTTGTATTGGATTTAAGCCTTAAGGATAACAAGAGGACCAAATCTGTTTGTGGTTAAAAGGCACTGCCTCGTTTACTATCCTTCATATTTATGACGCTGAGCTAAGAGAAACAGGAAACTGTTATCAGTAATGTAATATAATAGACTGGTGAAGCTGCACTTACTGTGTCGCAAGTGTGCAGAGCCAGAAAGAGAGTGAATGCCCCGTTGGTTGGTCGTACAAGCGCCCAGTGTTCTCCTTTGACATTACTTGAGTTTAAAAACCTTTAGGCCGCAAAAAAGCAGAGGATGGGTAGTAACAGTTATAGTTACATTTACTCATGTAATATTAAAAAAAAAAACAACCTTTGGGAGTAGCTTTACAGCTTTGTACTTTCCAATCTTACTTGACTAAAATTTCGGCCTACTTCATCCATTGTGAGTAACTTCACTTAATGAAAACACAGGTTATTAAAGGCTATTTTCCATCTGCTGAGTCTGCAGTGTTATTTGGGTCAAAGGTTACACAGTGTTGCTTTAGAGGTTTTAATTAAAATTCATTCAGGGTGTTTTTTTTGTTTTTAGACAATAAGGTTTTGTATCTTATTTTCAATACAATGTGAGGAACTGGATAGGCCTGGGATCAAAGACTGACCTGTTTCGAACATACCGCAGAAAATCCTGGTGTAGAACATAGAAGTGGCTCTCATTGAACTGTCCCGAATAATAACCTCTGGGTCTGGATGGAGAAAGCAAGACATGTGTTGTTTTGGTAGAGAGATACATACTTTTTCAAAAAGTTTTTAGCAAGTAAACAAGAATGCACATATATTCCATGTAATGTAATTCACTGAATCCTTTTTTAAATATCAGACATACTCGAAGATTTAAGCTTATTGTCAGTGTTCTCTGAACAATTTAGGATTTCATCTAAATAAAAAATATGCTTTTACCAGAAACTAAAAATCAGGGCCGTCAGCTGACCCAATACTATACAGGGGCACAATAGGGCACCAAAAAATTTTATTTTGGGGGCAATTATCTATTTTTAAAAAGCATGGCCACAGATAATTACAGAAGAGGATTATGGCCACTGAATTATTTTTTTTTAAATAGTTAACAGATTTTTACATTTTATTTCAGTATAATATGAGAAAAAATTCAGAATTCTGACTTTAGTCTCAGAATTCAGATTTTTTTCCCCCTCAGAATTCTGACTTAAAAGATAAGACTTCTAAATGAATTCTGACTGAATTAACAAACATGTCAGCATCAAGCTGTACCCATGTCTGTTTAGACTAAACTAGCTCTCTTATTTTAATCTCCTCCTGCTTTTCCATTAATGAAATAGCATCACCGGGGACCCCTCGGGCACGTAAAAAGTCGCCTAATTCCGTCATTTTTCACCAATGTGTCACTGGCCCTCCCAAACAACGCACATATTTGTCAGCGAAGCTGAGTGCTCCTAAACCTCTTCCCATCTACATTAAGATCAACAAGTCTGAGATTAAAGTCTGAGAAAAAGGTCAGAATTCTGACTTTTTCCCCATATTAAACTGAAATGATATTTAAAAATTTGAATTAAAAATCAGTAAAAAAAAAATTTCCCATGGCCCTAATCCTCTTCTGTCGATAATTAATGCAAGCACGCAAGCAAATATTTTTATAAATAAATAAATTGCACAATCACATTGTTATTTTCTGCATCATTAAATATCTACCTGAACCAAACTGAATTGAATTAGCCCACCTGTGAACTTATCTGAATATCTCTAATCCACTACTGATGAAGGCACAATTTATCTTCATAAAATATATGTCAACAAACATGAACTTGAACACTGAAAACAACTGTAACTGCAACTGTAAAAGGAAAAACGCCTCTACATACATACATACATGTGTGTTTATCATTTTTGGCAGAGCATACAGGTTCTATCATGGTTCTATGATCCTATGAGGTGTGATGGTGAAGAGCCTATGAGGTGTGATGGTGATGATCCTATGAGGTGTGATGGTGGAGGTGTGATGGTGATGATCCTATGAGGTGTGATGGTGATGATCCTATGAGGTGTGATGGTGATGATCCTATGAAGTGTGTATATCATGGCCAGAAAGATGGGAGAGCTGGATGTTCATTTTTTTTAACAGTAAACGGTAGCGTCTCGGCTTCACTTTTGCAAAGCTGTCGATCAATTGTGATTTGGAGAGTTCTCCTCTCTCAACCCGCTGTGAGAGCAAAGCAGATTTTTTAATCAATTAAAAAATCAGTGCCCCTGATCCACAATGGTGCACATGCCCCTGTGAAAAGGGTCTGCCGATGCAGATGATAAAAATCCTTCTACATTTGTATGGTTTCCTGACAAAGACCAAGCTTTATTGCATACAATTTAGTTAATGGCCATAAGAATAAGTTACTGAATAAGACGCTTTCCTTAGAAATTAGCAGTCAGAATATGTTTAATTTTGTGTAGCTGATAAATAAAATATAAAAGAATTTTAAAACTGTACTCACTCATGATCTAGATATTCACCAGAGGAAACATTTTCTCCTTTTAAAAGACCCTGGAGCCACTGGAAATCCCTCAGACCCTCAGGAATTAGGACATACTTTATTCCCTAAAAAGAAAGAAAGAAAGAAAGAAAGAAAGAAAGAAAGAAAGAAAGAAAGAAAGAAAGAAAGAAAGAAAGAAAGAAAGAAAGAAAGAAAGAAAGAAAGAAAGAAAGAAAGAAAGAAAGAAAGAAAGAAAGAAAGAAAGAAAGAAAGAAAGAAAGAAAGAAAGAAAGAAAGAAAGAAAGAAAGAAAGAGGGTAATTCTTTGCTCTTCAGGAAATAGTTTTAAATATCGTTTGTTTCGTAATTTCTTTGCACCTCATCATGTGGGGCGGATTTGTATCCATACGCTACCAATCTTTTAAGGGAAGTTGTAATGGAATGTCCAGTGTGAACATAAATTGATGTTCTTTTCCCTACGTCTTCTTCATAGCCATTGATCACAGCACCGTTCATCCTGCCACACAGACGAATCAAAGATTTAGGTCACATTTTCAACATTTCTATTAGGGTTGTCAAAAGTATCGATACTACAAAAAGTATCGATACTGAAACGTTGTATCCGGATACAATACTGATTATCAAAAGTATCGATATAGCCATCTAAAGTGCAAAATTGTGGAAAATGCACTTTCTGAACACTGTGTGATTGAATAATTCTGTGCATTTTTCAGTTTCAGACTTTTTCTGTAACAGGTGCAGCTGCTGAGAATTATTTTTATTTAACTGGTTTGGCTAGTGTCATTGTTATGTCTGCAAAACATAGCCAAGGAAGGAACACTTAATTTTAATTTTGTAAGTTTTTTTATCAAGCTTGCTTAATATTGCGCACAGCATACAACCTCAAAACATTATTCTTATTTTTTTTATTAATTAAAATATTTCTGTTGAATTTTAGAGTATTTTTTTTTATTCTTGTTGTATCGAAAAGGGTATCGAGTATCGAATATTTTACTTAGTATCCGTATCGAGTTGAAAAGTTTAGTATCGTGACAACCCTAATTTCTATACACAAATAATGCTATCAGAAGTTGTTATTGATCTCATCACATCATCTATTTTTAGCTGGTGGCTGTTAAATCGATTCTGCATTTTATCCAAATCTGTTGCCTCCCCTCCTTCCTTAGAGTTATTCCATGCTGAGGCTTCTTCAGCAGAAACAGTGCAGGACTTTGAATGTAACCCGGTCTGCCTGTTGACAGTCTGAGATTGAAAGACTGATTTTTCCATTTGATTAAGGTTAGAGAGATCTTTTTTCCGGTTTCATTTCTTCCTAACAACCAGTGACAGGCATCCAGAGATTCACAGAACCACGGTTACACCACAACTCCCTCCTGTTGAGGTTAACCTGAAAAGTTGTTAAAAGAGGGAATTTAGGACCCTTTTAGCTAATTTGCTTTATATCAAGCCTTTGCTAACAAAGTTTCAGAAATGTCTGATAGAGTCTAATTAACCATTGCAGCTTTATGATTGCTGAATGTTCAACCATTAATTACTTTTTTATCTATTAGTAGTAGTTTTTTTCCTTTTTCAAAAAAAAAAAATTAAAAATAAAAAAAATTCACTGGACTTAGTTTCCAAGTTTGAAGACGTTTCGCTTCTCACCCAGAAGGCTTTTTTTTCAATTCCAAATGTCTGATTAGCATTGAGTTCAAGGCTTTATAGAGAAGACATAAAAAAGTTGTTACAAAGATATTACTAAGATGTGAGGAATGATTATTTTAATAGGTTTCATTGTTTCCTTAGCTATTAAAGTTAACTTCTGAAAGAACAAAGCCTAACCTTTGTTCTAAATAGTATTACGCAAATAAACTTGTCTTGCCTCGCCTAACCACATTTTGGCAAGGCAACACTCTCATTGTAATGTAACATTCTTTTCTTTTGTGTTGCTCATCAAATACGTTTAAAATAAGTTCTAACTTGTCATCTTGCAGTTTTATTGATTACACAGCCTTTTTATGGAATTGTGGCTACCAAATAGTTCCAGGCACACATCCACATTAACACAAAAAGATGCATATTCCTTTACCTATAAAGTAAATAAAAGGAAAGAAAGCAAATAATTTATTAATGTTCCGTCATAACAGTCAATGAGCCTTATTAAAAGCCATAAGGAGAGTTAATCCTGTTTAAAATAGATCTAAAAAAGTGATTGCTGGAAAGTATATATATATATAAGATTGCTGAAAAAAAAAAATAATAATAATATATATATATATATATATATATATATATATACAGTGCTGCTTGAAAGTTTGTGAACCATCCAAACATGGCCATTGTTTTCTAAAGAAAAATTATAATAATCATGTAAAATGAACATCCAAAGCTCAAATTGTAATGCGGACCTTCCAGATAAGGAACACAAAGACAAAAAAGATGCATCTTTTTATTATTTATTCAACAAAAGTATTTTATCTGTCAAAGACAGAAAATATGCCAAGTGCAAAAGTATGTGAACTCTTTCAGTTAGTACCTTGTGGCACCGCCTTTTGCAGCCATTACTTCAACTAAACGTCTTCTGTAACCACAAACAAGTGTCTCACATCTGCTTTTTGGGATTTTTGTCCACTCCTCCTTGCAGAACTCTGCCAGTTGAGAGATGTTGGAGGGACATCTGGCATGTACTGCCCGTTTCAGAGCCACAGCATTTCTATGGGATTGAGGTCTGGACTTTGACTGGGCCAATCCAGAGTGCAAATCTTCTTTCTCTTAAGCCATTCTTTGGTACTTTTGTTGGAATGCTTTGGGTCATTGTCTTGTTGCATAATCCATTTCCGTCCCAGCTTCAACTCCCTGACTGATGGCAAGAGATTCTGATCAAGAATTTGTTGATAGCCCTGGGAATTGACGGTTCCCTGGATAATATGGAGTCGTCCAGGTCCAGAGGCAGAAAAGCAGGCCCAGACTTTCACATTTCCACCCACCGTGCTTCACTGTTGGCAGGAGGTTCTTCTCTTTAAATTCAGTGTTTACTTTTCTCCAAACATGGCGCCTGTGATTGTGGCCAAATAATTCAATTTTGGACTCATCCGTCCAGAGAATGGACTTCCAGAAAGCCTCTGGTTTGTCCAAGTGTTCTCTGGCAAACTTTAAACGTGCAGCTTTGTTCTTTCTTGAGAGCAGAGGCTTTCTTCTAGCAACTCTCCCATGAATGCCATGTCTATTGATATTTTGCCTGATTGTAGACGCATGTACATTTATCCCAGACGCTGACAGAGAGGTCTGCAATTCTCTGGAAGTGATGTTAGGGTTGGCCTTTACCTGCATCATTATTTTTCTGGTGGTTCTTTGTGAAAGTTTTGACGGCCATCCACATCTGGGCAGAGTTGTAGTGATGCCTAGTGCCCTCCATTTGTAAATGATTTGTCTTACAGTGGATGGATGAAGCTGGAATCTTTTGGAGATGGTCTTATAGCTTTACCCAGTCTGATGGGCTGTCACCACCTTCTTCCTGACGTCCTCAGATGTCTCCCTTCCTCTCGGCATTGTTGATCTGGTCTTTATGCCTTGACACAACAGTGGTTTGTTTGGTTTCGTCTCCCTTTTACCCAGTGCACCTCAAAACTTTTCCCAAGGACGTCTCATTTGATTGGTCTGCTTAATTGATTACTCAAGCACTAACATGTGCTTCACCTGAGTCTTTTACCTGATTGTCTTTACCAGTGCAGCTGTGGTTCATTTACTTTTGCAGATGCTCTGATTCCGTTTATCATTTAGTTTGCTTTCAACTCCCACATTTTCCTCAAAACAAATGAATGGAATTGATGAACATAAACCTGACATTTCATATAAAAAAACTGGTGATGAAAAAATAAGAAAATCATGATAAAAATAAAGAAAAATCTAAACTACTCAACTAGTTCACAAACTTTCAAGCAGCACTGTATATTAGTGCTGTCAAAATTATTGCGTTATTAACGCGAGGCCATTTTAACGTCGATAATTTTTTTAACGTGAGATTAACGCTATGTGGTTTTATGGTACAATTTTCCAAGTACATCCCGCTGCAGCCTGCGAGAAGGCGGGGCTATTTCCCCCCAGTCTATGCATTTCTCTGATGCTGCGTTCACACCGGGGGCAGCTGGCGCGACAGAAGCAGCGAGTTTACATGCAAAGTCAATGGTTGACGCGCGTCAAGGCGCAGCAAAAGGTCCCGCGGCGCGTTTTGAGCAGCAGGCGCAGCGCGTCTGAGCAGCTGAAGCAGCGCGTCGGGCGCGTTTAAGCATCTGACGCGCGTGACGCGCCGCAAACGCGTTGCTGCTCGAGATGGAAAAATTGAATTTTTGCTGCTCGACGCGCCGCGTCAACCAATCAGACAAGCTGATCTGGGAGCTGGCTGGGAGAGAGACACAGCGCTGATGACACAGACCGCTCTGATTACTCCTCTTAAACAGTTTATTAACGCATAATTAACTTAAAATATATACATCTGCCGGCAGAATATGTTCGCTTTTATTATTCTGGTGCCTGCAGATCGGATTATTTAGATGAAAAACACCTACCAGCCGCCGCGGTAAACCGCGAGGAGGCGACCCGGCCAGAGGCTGCTGATGAAGGGATTCCTTCTGTCGGCGCACCGCCGGTATGTGGGGGTCTGAGGGGCTCCGACAGAAATAACATTGGGAGGCAGGATTGTAATCTGGATGAACTGACTGCACTGATGAAGTTTTCAGGTGTATTTTCTCACTTAAAAACATATTAAAACTACTTTATTCCCACTGATCACAGCAAATATAGCTGCAAGGCAGAGAAAGGATAGTGAAGCTCCGCCCAACGCGCGTCAGACACACTTTTGCACCACGCAGCCAGAGCAGCAAAGCTGCTTCAGCCGCGCGTCAGAACTAACTGGTACAAGCAGCAAAAATTAAGAAGCAGACGCGATTTTGCTGCTTTTGCAGCGTCCGGTCTGAACGTAGCAATAGGCTTCGAGAGCGGAGCTCCTCAAGGGAAAAAGACGCTCATACACTGGGTGACGCTAGTGCCTTTTCTTTAAGCCCCACCACCAACAAACAAGTTGAGTGTCTGGTAACTAGTAGCAACCTGAAATACGCTGAGAAAACAGATTACTGAGGTGAAATGGAATCTGCTACGGCACTCTTGCTGTCTGTGTACGCCACAGGTCAGTATCGTGTGTGTGTGTGTTCTCATTTTTGTTAAGAGTCTGAAAAGTAACTTTCTAGAGCATAGACTACCTCCATCTAGTGATGTCGGTCTATTGATTTTGATGTATTGATTGAAAATTTTTCATTATTATCTTGGTTAATTAACATCTAATGTTAACTCTACTACATTTTATAGAAGTAGGGTAAAATGCTTGTCTTTGTTCAAAAGACTGTATTAACTGTAAAGACTGTCTTTTACATCAGCCTGTTTTCAGGATCTTTTTTCTTTGGCTACATATTTGTTATTTTTTGCTACATGCCTCCCCATCTTCTTGCCATATGTTTCTATGGCATAAATCAGTATCTGTGACCTGTTCTCATTTAAAAAAAAGAACATTGGCACAAACCTAGCCTGTATGTATTTTTTTGTATGTCATCGAGAGTATTTAAATGATTTTCAATCAGAAAAAAAAATGTGCGATTAATCGCGAGTTAACTTAGGCATTGATGCGATTAATCGCGATTAAAAAAATTTAATCGATTGACAGCACTAATATATATATATATATATGGCAAATATTGTCTGGATTTAAACAGAGTACCAATATTCCTTTGCTGTGTTAATCAGCTATAATCTGTCTAAACCTTGGTTATATTCATGTTACTTTTAGAACCATATTGCAAAGAAAATTACAACAACACTTTTAGACGTATTTATATATTTTTCTTACCGAAAGACGTAGTCATGAGCATCAATCTCAGCTCCCGCCCTTGAGCCGTTCAGAATGCCTCCGGTTCCCACCACAGCACAGCGCACACAGCCATCACCGCCTGCTTTTGGGAGGAGCAGCGGTTCCTTTGGCTTCTCGATCAGCTTCACTACAGGCAATATATCTGCAAATAAGCATTTCACATGGAAAGGTAGAGATAATGTATTGTCAACAGTTAATCTCAGGTAGTGAATCCTGCATGAAGACTACCACTGCTACATTTCTCAGTGTTTTAAGTAATTATTTGGACTTGGAGAGCAGCCCAAAAAAAGACAACAATGTTCAACTTTGTTTTGAGACTGTACCTTGAAAAAAAAAATCACATTTTATGTAAAAACTGTCATAGGGAAAAGAAATCCCATCCTATCAGATCTATTCTTCATTCTAAAATCATGTTAATTCTAAATTTGTGCAAAAATAAACAACTTCACATCATAGTATAAAAAAGCTATGCGTTGGAGCAAAGAATACATCGCTGCTTTAATGTCAGGAAAGTACCATCCAAGTCTATGATTTTCAACAACTGTGAAGAGCTCAATAGAGGAGGATTTTCTGCACTTTATGATGCTCAACCAGCAAAGCTGTTCTTTGACACAGCCTTTTATCTATCATCCATCATTCCCATGTGGTGTCCTTACAACAGAATGAGAGCAGTCAAAGCTCTTGTTTTGAAATTAGCTTCAAATTATAATTATGTGGATTCAGGTGCAGTTTGTTATCTTATAAACTGCTATATTGACCCACAGTTCCTCCCAGTGTTTCTCCATGATACTGGTAAATCTAACTCAGATAATAAGCCATGCATCATTTTCCACAAGATCATTAAGATCTGTCAATAACATGCTCCTTTCTTATTCTTCAGTTGCAATGTTCTGCTAGAGAGCCAAGGCTGCTATCCCTCAACAATAACACAGCTATTTATTGACATGTGTGATTGTCTACAGCTTATCAATCTTTTGAATCATTATATCTCCCTTTTTTTTAATTAATCTGTTGATTGGCCTCTGTTTGTGTAGTTTGTTGTTTTCTTTCCATTTAGAATTAAAGTGCTCCTTTGAAAAATGTTTATTATCCTGTGGACACACGCCGTGGCTCATTTACCCAACCAAAACAGAGGACTATATTCATGGTTCACATCACATTTAGGTTGTGAAAATTTTTTAGGGGTTCTATTCATTGTTTCAGAATAAATTGCTAGTGTAATAATTTAAGCTTTACTCATAAAAGCTAAAACTTTCATACAACATCAAGGTTGTTGCCCCTTGTGTTCAATAAAAATTCAGTCATACATCTTTTTCATTAAGTGAGGTTTTTTTGCTTTGTAGTTTATTTCTTAGCTCAAAAAGTTTGAATTGCCAGAGGCGTAGCCAGAAAATTTTTATAAGGGTGGCCAGGCATGAACCAATGTACACTGAGGGGTGGCCGAAAGTGGACAGGCGCCAGAACCTCAGGATCAATTTACAATGTTCCAACAGGAAAATTAATGAGCAAAACATCCATATTCACTAAATAAAGACTAACTATACTTTCCTAACAAATACACGCATACACTCACCGGCCACTTTATTAGGTACCCCATGCTAGTAACGGGTTGGACTCCCTTTTGCCTTCAGAACTGCCTCAATTCTTCATGGCATAGATTCAACAAGGTGCTGGAAGCATTCCTCAGGGAGTTTGGTCCATATTGACATGATGGCATCACACAGTTGCTGCAGATTTGTCGGCTGCACATCCATGATGCGAATCTCCCGTTCCACCACATCCCAAAGATGCTCTATTGGATTGAGATCTGGTGACTGTGGAGGCCATTTGAGTACAGTGAACTCATTATCATGTTCAAGAAACCAGTCTGAGATGATTCCAGCTTTATGACATGGCGCATTATCCTGCTGAGAGTAGCCATCAGAAGTTGGGTACATTGTGGTCATAAAGGGATGGACATGGTCAGCAACAATACTCAGGTAGGCTGTGGCGTTGCAACAATGCTCAATTGGTACCAAGGGGCCCAAAGAGTGCCAAGAAAATATTCCCCACACCATGACACCACCACCACCAGCCTGAACCGTTGATACAAGGCAGGATGCATCCATGCTTTCATGTTGTAGACGCCAAATTCTGACCCTACCATCCAAATGTTGCAGCAGAAATCGAGACTCATCAGACCAGGCAACGTTTTTCCAATCTTCTATTGTCCAATTTCGATGAGCTTGTGCAAATTGTAGCCTCAGTTTCCTGTTCTTAGCTGAAAGGAGTGGCACCCGGTGTGGTCCTCTGCTGCTGTAGCCCATCTGCCTCAAAGTTCCACGTACTGTGCGTTCAGAGATGCTCTTCTGCCCACCTTGGTTGTAACGGGTGGTTATTTGAGTCACTGTTGCCCTTCTATCAGCTCGAAACAGTCTGGCCATTCTCCTCTGACCTCTGGCATCAACAAGGCATTTCCGCCCACAGAACTGCCGCTCACTGGATGTTTTTTCTTTTTCGGACCATTCTCTGTAAACCCTAGAGATGGTTGTGCGTGAAAATCCCAGTAGATCAGCAGTTTCTGAAATACTCAGACCAGCCCTTCTGGCACCAACAATCATGCCACGTTCAAAGTCACTCAAATCACCTTTCTTCCCCATACTGATGCTCGGTTTGAACTGCAGGAGATTTTCTTGACCATGTCTACATGCCTAAATGCACTGAGTTGCCGCCATGTGATTGGCTACTTAGAAATTAAGTGTTAACGAGCAGTTGGACAGGTGTACCTAATAAAGTGGCCGGTTAGTGTATATTTCAACATCCATGCTTTCTAGATTAAAGGTATAGTGGAAACAATTGTTTCAAGTTTGAGTTCTGGGGCGAACATCTTTTCTATTGTTTTTACTTAACTACTTTTATCAATAATCATTATGCATAAATTGATATTTACAAGTGTCTACATAAATTAATTATTTAATAAGTTTTTACTAAAATAGTTATCTATGATTTCTATGAAGACTCAAGAAGACTTGCAGAGACATCATTTTCTCTTTACCGCATATAACGCAAAATCTAGTTCTGAAAAGAGCATGAATTCTGTACTTATCGTCCTAAATTTTAGTACATTGATGTGTATAATTAACAACAGTGTTTTTGTTGTCAAGTAAATGTTAAAGTATGACAAATTAAAATGTTTTGAATATTCCACCGGAGAGTATTACTGCTGCCAACATCTGTATTAGAAGGGAAAAAATGGTAGATCTATCTAGCTCCGCCCCTGCGCATTGCTGCAAAATATTTTTACCGGAGGCCAAAGTTTTTGTGAATTATCCCAGAATTTTACAGAGCAATAATGCTTGTGCATGCCAAGTTGTGCTTAAAATATTACAATGCAAGTTTTTTGTCCATAAGCAAACCTGGAATGTAGAGCTCTTCTTTGGATGGCTTTGCATGATTGCAGGGCATCATATAAATCTGCAACTAAAGTCATCATATTAACATTAAACAAAATCACATAACAAACACCTACCTTCATATTTCATTTGCATATATCCAAAAGGACTGTTGAAGTGTGAAAGCCGGTTCCACTCTATTATGTTGAAGTTTTCTTTGTGCAGAAACATACGTATGTTGGGAAGGAAATTTCTCTGGAAAGTCTTGTCTTTGGAGTGGCGCAAAGACTTGGCACATGTCTGAGTATGTAAAAATAAATGTTATTAAATTATAGATAACTGAAAGTGTTGGTTTGGTTAAGGAGGCGGAGAGCTACACTCCGGCGCCAGAGTGTTTTGCCAGTTGTGGTTAGCAAGCCTGAGCCAACCTGCCTGTCTGAATCTCTGACTCCCAGAAAACCTGAACCTTAACCTAATCTGTTTTGTCCTCTCTGCTTCCCAGGTTGAACCTGCCAGAAACCTGAAACCTTGAAGAGTTTCTCTGTTGGAAACCTGTCAGTCTGATTTCTGAAGAACCCTGGAAAATCAAACTTGTCAAAGACCTGCCTGCCCGCTCTCTGAAGAACCTGAAAGAGAAACTCAAATCAGAACCCCCCAGCTCTCAAACCTAGCTCTGCCTCCACCAAGCCCTCAGCCTGCCGACAGCCTCTGGACCCTCCTGGTTCCCCCTCTCTGCCGCTCTGCTCAAACTCCAGAACAGATACAGACCTGCACTCACTCATCCTGCAAATTACCTGGACTTCAGCTAACCACTCTGTCCCCCTCTGCAGTGAACCCAGTCATGACCAGTCCTGGATCTGATAATCCCTTGGATCAGTTCTTTATTCAATTATGTTGTTCAATAAACCTTTGAACTTTTTCTCCTGTGTCCGTGTGTTCTGCATGTGGGCTAGAAACCTTAAACCAAACATGACAACATGAATCAGTTTGACTGAAAAGATATCAATAATTTCTTGTTCAAAATATATAAATGTTTATTTCTGGTTATGATGCCAACATTAACACAATAGGATTTTGTACCAAAGGGAATAGTAGGTTGAAATCCCATGAGATGGAGCTCAGGTGTTGCTAGTTACTAGTAGCTCTCTAACAGCGCTCACAAATGGCTTCTTACCTGCCTTAGATTTCTCAAAATCAAGCCTGATAAACAAAATAGAAGCCAGAGAACCCACACATGCATGGGGAGAATATGTAAGCTCATTGGGAATTGAACCCAGGACCTTCTTGCTGCAAGGCAGAGGGATTACAAATTGCGCCACTGTGCAGCCCTAATTAATTAATGAGTTATTCACTTATTTTCTTCCAGTTTTCTGAGGCTCCCCTGGTGCCTGCAGGCAGACTCCACTTTAAAAAAAAAATCGATTTAGACCAGAGGTTCACACTTTTTTTATTTCTTATTTTATTAAAACAGTAACCCAAACTATTGCCATGGCTACAAAAAATAAATTCTAAAAAGCCTATAAATAGAAATAAAAACATATATTCTAATATCACTAAACACGTATAGTTTTTTTTTTGTTTGGGTTAAGTTCTGTAGAGAAACTTAAGACCTCCATACTTGTTAATTTGTGATCCCAAGAGAAGTCATGACTAAGACTTTGAAAAAAACTGGCCTAAACGGCTGAAAATAAGTTGCCTCAAACTACCAGCATGGAGACAGTTAAGGAGTCAGCAGCTTTGACTGCTGATGGTACAGCAAAGAGCAAAGAAAACGTGAAAACACAGCATAAAACACTTTCTAGGTACTTACTGTTGGTCTCGGAGGAGCATCAAAATTATATACATCGTCAAAAGCCCATCGAGGAAGCTTGCTGAAGGAACTCTTGTTCATGATGGGAATTGGGGTCTCAGCAGCTGTCCTTCGAGGTAAGTCATGTCTCAATGAATAAATGCTAGTTTCATCAATTTTTCCAGTCTGTGTGGGTAAACCAGGCTGCCGATTCAACTGTTCCATTCTTGGAATAAATCCATTGAATAATCTGCCTGCACTTCTGGACAGTTCTTTTCCCAAGAGGACTCTCCAACTTTAAGTGAAACAAACAAAAAAATGTGGAGTGTAAGCTTTTAACAGAATGAATAATGTTGAATTATTTCAGAAGCATCTAACAATGAATAAATAAAAAAATAAACTTACTTTTCACCCCCTTGGTCATTTTTGTGGGAGATAACAATAAAAAATATTACTTCCACCGCCAGTATAAGACCAAACACCTTCAGATTTCGAGCTGCCATCCTAGATATTTTAGAGCTACTGTTCAAACCAAGGCTGGAGCAAAATTGACATAGACACCATCTGAGTTTAAAGAAAGAACTGAAACACACCTTTTTGGTTGATTTTAAAACAAAAACGCCCATAAGGTCTATGGGTAACTTTAAAAAAATTTAAAAGGCAGACCTATAGGCCTCTCTTCAGAGAAAAGAACAGCAGTGGTTAAAAGAAAAAAGCTGCTGTCTTTATAGACTGAAGAGAGAAAAATGTATCTGTTTTCAGCTTTATACATTCATTCACTCTGAAACAAAAAGAAGGCTCATTTAAAGATTAGAATGTTATGAAATGGTAGAATTCAGTAAGCTGTCTGAAACCCTTAAAAGTCCCTTACCTATCCTAGGATGTGGTTACATGAATCATCATCCAACAGAAACCTTCCTTACCAAATAGTCTGGAATTTCCCAGACACAAATGGATTTTTATTTTTTTTTTTAGATAGAAATTTAACCACAAATAATAATGATGACTTTTATGTGCTACTGAGAGAACTTACCACTACTGTTATGACACAAGCCACGGCAATATGTTTTAACATTAGGAACCAATGCCCCTGCAGTTTCACTGACAACACCTTTTACGACTATGTTTCCCAACATTTCTTTTTACTTTTGTAACCCTTTGGATATTTTGTCTTACCATGAGTATCCCCTTCAGTCAAAAGTATTGATGATTGTCCAAAAGTGGAAATAATAAATAAATATAAAATAAAGACTATTTTACTTAATCTTTTAATCAGGGCATTTAATTCTTATATTTGTATTTGTTCCATCTCATATATAAAAAAAAACATCATAAATATGTTGCCTGGAAGTTGGTAAGAATTCAAAATAAATACAAAATAAAATCATATTATAAACCTGTATTTATAAAACTGGTGCTCTTTTGAGTAACTCCCTTATAATCACATTTAAATTTAATGAATTGGGAACAAAATTCAGAACAAAAATCAGACTGACTTAATTAGTTTAACTTTGTTTTCATCAAGACACCTGAGCTGCTTTGATTAGCTCCACTAGCTCACTGTGATAATAAGGAAGATAGGTTTATTACAAACGCTGGATTAATCCTGGTTTAGTTTTTCTTGATAATAAAAACGAAACAAAATAAATTAATAAAGAAAAACTTGCATGAATTTTCCATTTATGATGTACAGCTGTACCCGGATTGCTGGCATCATCAATGATGTGATTCCCCTCCAACAGTATATATATTCATGCTTTGTCTTGCTGTTTAATGCTGAAAACACAAAGATTTTCTATTTTACTGTGGGATTTTCTTTTTATATTTTTCTTCTTCTTTTGGGGCCCCCCTCATTCAAGGACCCTTGAATGAGAACACCCCCTCACACCCACACTATGGACTGTTCTCCCTCCTGACCCCTGGGAAGTGGCTTACGCAGCATTCTCTGCAGGTCTAGCAGGTTCTGAAACAACATTTCCCTGCTGCCATCAGACTGTTGAACTGTTGAAACTCCAATCAAGACTGCACCATATTTGAAAACATATTTGCACTACCAACGTGACTGATTTTTTCATAATCCTTTTTAATAGAACATAACTCAATGTTCTACTGCATTTTGCACCATTTTTATTTATTTTGCACTGCACTGAACCTTTCCATATCAATACATTTTGCATCACAATTAAACTGGTTTTCCTTTTCTCCTGCACTGTCAACATTCTTGATCACTGCTGCACTTTATATATGGAAATGTTCATTTCACTGTTCTAAGCTGCTCATTTGCTGCTGAAAAACTGTATGCATCAAAATTTCATTTTGTTTATACTGTGTGTATACAACATAAAAATACAGTTTGTCTAAATCTAAGTCAGCTGCAGGTGTAGAGACCAATAGGTCTATCATCAGCAAATAAAATGTTTACTTACTGCAGAGTTACATATGATGTAGTCTAATAAAATGGACTATTGCTTCTAAGTAAAACAAATGCTGTCATTTAGTGAAAAACTAGATTTGAATAAAAGTTGTGCAAGACTCCTACATGAAGTCTGGGGCACTTTGTAAAATTAGTTCGTACCTGAAAGAAGATTAGAAATAGAAGAAAATTGTAAATGCATCATATTCTCCTAAATCACTCGTACAAACGATTTAAGAAAAAACTTGTGAGTACAAAGAGTTCTTGCATGAGCCCCAATATCCCTATCAATTAAAGCTGAAGTCTGTAAGTTTTTAAAAATCCCTTTTTTGTCATATTGGCTAAAACTGTCCCTATGCCCAGACAGCAGTACATGTGATATGTAACCTGTGAAAAAAAACTGCTTCAATTGGTCCCGCCTACTGCCTGTATTTCAATCTGGAAAGAATAATTCGGGACGAGTCAAAACAACCAATCACAGCCAGAGGAGCGTCTGATGGAGTGTCAATCACAGCTCACACACGCTGAATCCCGCCCCCCCCCCTTCTGGTCGCATGCGGTAGCCGCGCAGATGCTGTGAGAGGGGTGGAGCTTGGAGGTGGGGCATGAGTGCAGCAGAGAGGGTGGGGGAGTGGCGTGAAACCTGTTCTTCTTCAAATTTTCAGTCGAAGTCTGCTCTCTTCTCAATGTTACAGACTGCAGCTTTAAAGGGGTTAGGAAGAAAATAGGGCAGGGGTCTTGTTTAAAGTTGTTCAAGGATCCTATAGTTAGAGCCTGTACGCTTTGAAAAAATCGTATAAGAGCTTGTGGAATCCAGTGCAAGTAGAGTAATGTATACTAGAGTATCCATCTAGAACATGTTTATATGTTTAATATTAATTTATTTGTTTCATATCCTATTCTAAAGTATAAACTAATTTGCGAATTGCATGTCACAGTGTTATGGTCACTGACCTCTTGGAGCTCTCTTCATGAGAGAACTCTCTCTTTGTGTTTCAGGTCTACCTGGCTGTTGCAGGTGCAAGGTTGAAGCTCGTCAGCCACCTCATAAAGAGCTTCAACCCTGAGATGTCAGGCCCCTTTTCTCTTATTCACTGGGCCTTGATCTGCAGTGATCTTATCTGTGAGCTGAGTGTTACTGTATGTTCATGTTGAACAATTGGCTAACCAAAGCATTTTCTGTTCCCAGTGGAAGCTGGTAGGGGTGCTCTGCCATTTTTTTTAAAACTGTTTTTCTCCTTGTTTCGGGGTTGACCAGGGAGTTCAGGTATTGTACTTTCTTTTCATTTCTGTGTTAGAAAATGGTTGATTTTATAAGTAAGGGGTGTTTTGTTTGTTGCTTTGGCCTTGGAGACCCTGAGCCTTAAAGCTGCCCTGTTTTGCTGTATTCTGTGACCCCTGAAAACTGTGAATAAATTATATTTTTCTACTGACATCATCTTTTAGTTTACTGACTTTTGTGTTACACCTAGTGCCAGAATTTGGTTTGAATTGGCCAATGTTTGGTTTGTTCACAGCATAGGAACTTTGTCCACGGCATATTTTGATGATTTTCTTAATATATTTTATGTTCATTCTTTATCTATTCTCAATAATTGTTACACAGTGAACCTAATACTCCTATAAATAAAACAGTATCATTCAGATAAACAAAACAGGTGTGGAATCAGCTTGATTTCCTTGAGAGAAACTTTTGATCAATTGGTGTTAATTATAATGTAAACTGTCACCATGAGATCTGTTAGACCTTATACTTCAGATATCTCCTCCAGCTCTCATGGGGGAGGCACGAGACCCCTCCGGGCAAGCTGAGAGACATAAGTCCTCCATCGTGTCATGGGTCACCATCTAGGCCTCCTCCCGATGGGACGTGCCTGGAACACCTCCGAAGGGAGGCGTCCAGAGGGCATCCAGAAAAGATGTCTGAGCCACCTCAGCTGTCTTCTCTAAATATGGAGAAGGAGCTCTACTTCAAGCCTCTGCAAAATGACTTAGCTCAGAACCCCATTGCTAGGGGAGAGTCCAGCCACCCTGCAAATAAAGCTCATTCCAGTCGCTTGTATCCGGGACCTCCTTTAGATCATGATCCAGATTTCATGACCATAGGTGAGGTTAGGAACGTAGGGTGACTGGTAAATTGAGAGTTTTGCCTTTTCACTCACCTCTCTCTTCACCACGAAAGACTGGTGCAGCATCCGCAATATAGCATCAGCCGAACCGATCTGTTTGTCGGTCTCCCACTTCATTCTCCCCTCACCCGTGAACAGAACTTTTATACTTGACTAAAAAGCTTAAGTTGATACTCTAACTTCTACAAAGTGTTTTTGAACAGTATGATTCATACTTGTACTTGACTAATAAACATAATACTTTTCTAACCTTTTGACAGCTCTGCTGTTTACCCAAGGATCCCTTCACCATTTGGCTGTATGATCTGGTGAACCGTAAAGTGCCTTGAGATGATATGTGTTGTAGGGGTGAAACGGTTCACAAAATCCACGGTTCGGTTCGGTTTAGTTTCGTGGTCACGGTTTTCGGTTCGGTAAATGTTGATTGTTAGGAAAATCTCTAAGCTGACATGTTGGTAGTGTTGCATTTAGCTTTAACAACACAATGCTGGCACACTGTTGCACTTTTATCCACAACTTTCTTTCGGCCGTCATCGTAGGTCACTCTACAGGTGCTGGTCATAAAATTAGAATATCATGAAAAAGTAGATTGATTTCAGTAATTCCATTTAAAAAGTGAAACTTGTATATTATATTCATACATTACATACAAACTCATATATTTCAGATGTTTATTTTGTTTAATTTTGATGATTACAAATGACAACAAATGAAAATCTCAAATTCATCATATCAGAAAATTAGAATATTACTGAAGACCAATAAAAACAAAGGATTTATAGAAATGTTGGCCAACTGAAAAGTATGAACATGAAAAGTATGAGCATGTACAGCACTCAGTATTTAGTTGGGCCTCCTTTGGCCTGTATTACTGCAGCAATGCGGCGTGGCATGGAGTCGATCAGTCTGTGGCACTGCTCAGGTGTTATGATAGCCCAGGTTGCTCTAATAGTGGCTTTTAGCTCTTCTGAGTTGTTGGGTCTGGTGTATTGCATCTTCTTCTTCACAATACCCCATAGATTTTCTATGGGGTTAAGGTCAGGAGAGTTTGCTGGCCAATTAAGAACAGGGATACCATGGTCCTTCAACCAGGTACTGGTAGCTTTGGCACTGTGTGCAGGTGCCAAGTCCTGTTGGAAAATGAAATCTGCATCTCCAAAAAGTTGGTCAGCTGCAGGAAGCATGAAGTGCTCTAAAACTTCCTGGTATGTGGCTGCGTTGACCCTGGACCTCAGAAAACACAATGGACCAACACCAGCAGATGACATGGCACCCCAAACCATCACTGACTGTGGAAACTTTACACTGGACTTCAAGCAACGTGGATGAAGTGCCTCTCTTCTTTTCCTCCAGACTCTGGGACCTTGATTTCCAAAGGAAATGCAAAATTTACTTTCATCAGAGAACATGACTTTGGACCACTCACCAGCAGTCCAGTCCTGTTTCTCTTTAGCCCAGGCAAGACGCTTCTGACGCTGTCTGTGGTTCAAGAGTGGCTTGACACAAGGAATGCGACAGCAGAAACCCATGTCTTTCATACGTCTGTGTGTGGTGGTTCTTGAAGCACTCACTCCAGCTGCAGTCCACTCTTTGTGAATCTCCCCCACATTTTTGAATGGGTTTTGTTTCACAATCCTCTCCAGGGTGCGGTTATCTCTCTTGCTTGTACACTTTTTTCGACCACATCTTTTCCTTCCCTTCGCCTCTCTATTAATGTGCTTGGACACTGAGCTCTGTGAACAGCCAGCCTCTTTAGCGATTACCTTTTGTGTCTTGCCCTCCTTGTGCAAGGTGTCGATGGTCGTCTTTTGGACAACTGTCAAGTCAGCAGTCTTCCCCATGATTGTGTAGCCTATAGAACTAGACTGAAAGACCATTTAAAGGCTTTTGCAGGTGGTTTGAGTTAATTAGCTGATTAGAGTGTGGCACCAGGGGCCATCAATTTTGAACCTTTTCACAATATTCTAATTTTCTGATATGATGAATTTGAGATTTTCATTTGTTGTCATTTGTAATCATCAAAATTAAACAAAATAAACATCTGAAATATATGAGTTTGTATGTAATGTATGAATATAATATACAAGTTTCACTTTTTAAATGGAATTACTGAAATCAATCTACTTTTTCATGATATTCTAATTTTATGACCAGCACCTGTAAATACAAAGTGGTCCCATACAGCAGACCTATAAAGTGCTGCTGGCGCGTCTTCCAACTCCTGTTCTTTCCCACTCACCACACCCACACAATTCTCCACAACAACTGATTTTTTTCTGCTACACCCGGCTACGCTGCTTCGCTTTTTCTTCTTGCTTACTACTGGTGGTTGGCTTTGGTCGCAGTACCGCCACCTTCTGCTCTGGAGTGTAAACGCTTCGCCTATGAGAAAAAGGAGCAGCGAATGAACCAAACGCAACACACACGAACCAAACCGAGACAGTCGAACCGAACGGTTCGGACGGTTTTCATAAACCGTTCCATCGCTAATGTGTTGTGATATGGCGCTACATAAATAATCTGAATTGAATATATATATATGTGTGTGTGTGTTTGTGTTTTTTAAAGGGTTGAACTTTGTAAGTAGTAATTAAGAGGGATTAGCCTTCAGACTTCACACCACATTGTTGCTGGAAAATTCTGATGCATGTACTGTGGAAGCTGTGCTGATACAAAGACATGTTTTCTCAGAGATCATATATACACTGCCTTTTAAATAGGATGGGTCGTTTTACATTTTTCAGACAGGTGTGGAACAATGTAAAAGGGCAAAGAACAAAATGAGAACAGACTGGTGCAGCTCTCACAGAAATTAGACTGAACACATATTCACACAACATTCTGGTTTATTACAACAGGTCCAATGTTATCCCAAGTAACCAACAGAAACAATGATCCATTGTAATTTTTTCAAGGTTATATGACAGGTGGAGGAGTGTAAGTGTGTGTGATACAAATTATAAACACAACAAAAAAATACCGGTTAGTGAGATGGACAGCTGTGTTGAAATACTGCAAGGGAATTAAATTATTTGGAGTCCTGAATACGTCCTGCAGATGATAAGGTTCAATAGAAGCCTCAGATAGAGTAGAGTCTGAGTTGCTCCTCCAAGTCTCCTTCAGACATGTTCCCAAACGTCTCCTTGTTGTCTTTCAGCAGTTGGAAGATTGCAGCAAGCTGCTCCCTCTGTACCCTGGGGAAAATACCACATACAACGGTTAAATTCTTAGAATGTTTTTTTAGAGAAAGATTTCTCTAAGATGAGAGGGCAGTTTCAAAAGAGCAGAGTTTAGAAAGCCATGACGAGGTATAAAGCCAGTTCTAGCATGTTCTGTGGATCCTGGCATAATGTTTTTTAAAAAGGCTAAGCTGGTCTCGACAAGTGTGGCTTTGACTAATTTAAGTAATCAGCAAGTAATCCTGACGAATACACGTTTGCTGTTTTCTTTAAGAGACCGTGAGGTCGATCACAGATTCAATGATGCAGTGAAGTATAGTGGATTGACTGAATGCCTAAATAAATCATGTTCTAAAAGAGCAGCTGTAAACTTAAAAGCTTCTCAAACTAAAATTGTAAGATGCATGAATCTGACAGCTGTTTTTCTCACTTTTCATCCTTTTTTAGTGATAAAATTTTTGTTATGTCAAGAATGGTGTTTGGCATGAAAACTCTGGAAAAGCAGCAGCAAAGAAACCCACTTTTTTCCCACAGTTAAGAACATTTAGCAGATTGGTAGTATTAAATCGAAATAAGGTACAAATTATTTGTACTAATTACTTAAAAAGTGCCTTCACACATATTTGATTATCTTATCCAGGTATTAAAAAACAAGTCTTGTGTGTCTGGCACTTTGACTACATGTTGCTGAAAATGCAGTCAGCATAAAAGATTGTCTGAAGATTAATGCAACTCATAAATTGATGTAGTTAAGTCATTCTTACTTAAATATTAATATGGTAGAAGTGGGGCTAGACGATTTGGCCAGAACTTATATCGTTCCCAATTTCACTTACTATGATGTAATTAAAATATCTATAGAAACAAAAATAAAATCCTGCCAAGAAAGGCCATAACAGATGCCTATCCAAGCTTATTAATGTTATGTCAAGTCCATGACCCTCCTCCAATATAAAAAAAAAAAAATGTTTTAATTGTTGTTAAAAAAAACAAAAGCAGAAAACATGTTACATTTTCTAATGCTACAGATAAGGGCATTATCTTTCCCCCATTTAGTCCATAGCTTCTTGCCTCTTTCACATTCGTTGTCATGGCCTGCTTTATTTTTTGTAATTAACTTTCATAAGTTCAGGAAGAAAAAACAAACGGGGAGATTATGCTCCAAATTCACTATAATACATTAGCAAAACAACTAATAATGTATAAATAGCTCTAAAAAAAAAAAAAAAAAGACTAAACTGATTGAATTCCAGAAATCTAACAGTTGATAAACCCTCATTGATGCTATAGGCAGCACTTTCCAATAATAACTTTTTTGGTTGTTTTTTAAACTTCCCATGTTACTAAAAACAAAGCTACGGAGCCCTCTGGGTGTCAGGGTAAAAAAAAAAATAATAATAAGCCGGTGGAAATCCATGGGCACGGATTGATAAACTGAGTTTTTCCAATCCGTGTGCGCAGATTAAGAAACTATGCTCTCTGTTTATTAATCCGTGCCCGCGGATTGAGAAACTGTGCTCTCGGTTTATTAACCCCTGCGCTAGGATCAATAAACTGTGTGCCCTGCTTTGCATTCGGTCCGCACACAGCTGCTCCGGAACCTTCAGAGTTTGATGCATGGGTCGCACCTACAAGGTAAGTTTAGTCAATTAATTGTTTTTTATATATATATAAACATATAGACCTAGCGCAGTGGGATGCTTTAATGAGCATGCTTTAGAGCTTGAACTTGTATGGAGTAGGATGAGTTGCGGTATCTAATATGTACTTCTGAATACTTAAGTATTTTCAAAAATTAGTACTTCAATACTTTAGAGCAGATGTTTGACTGAGTAGCTTTTACTTGTAGCTGAATAAGATTTGACTCTGAGTATCAATACTTTTACTCAAGCACTACTGTTGAGCACATCATGTACCACTGGCTGGGTGTTGTCAGCTCGGGAGGGAAAGCCGCAACAAGTATAATTGCAGCAGATCCATTGACAGACAGCTCATTTTCCGCATGGAATGTACGCATGTCAAGCATAATGAGCACTTAAGGGAACAAGTTAGACGAACTCCAAGCCCTAACAGGTAACGAGCAAGAATATAGGCTATGCAGTATTATGTGTTTTACTGAATTTTGGCTGCCGGATCATATTCCTGAATTCAAAATGTCTCTATCAAGCTTCCTAACTATTCAATTGCAGAAATGCCCTGGTCACATCAGAGAAGTACAAGAAGCTGGGTACAGGGAGCTGGTGAACTGCTTTGTGGAATAAAAAAAAAAAAAAAAGTCATCTGATCTCAAAAGTGAGATGATTGTAGATTTTTATAGAAGAAACAGGAACAAATAGAATTTTTTAACATCATGGGATAGGAATTGGAGGTGGTGGAGAAGAATAAGTTCCTTAGTGTTCGCCTGGAAAATAACAAACTTGACTAGAGAGGCAAACGTTAAACAGTCAACAAGAAGGGACAGAGCAGATTGTACTTCTTAAGAAAGCTTGGAGACTCCAGGATTGGCAGCAATATGCTGGACATCTTCTATAAGTCTGTTGTGGAGAATATCATCTTTTCTGCCATCAGCTGCTAGGGTAATAACATTAGAGGAAATCACTTTAAAAATTGGAAATATATGATAAAGGATAAAGGTTCTAGGAGCTCATCTAGAACCTGTAGATGAATTCATAAAAAATAAGTCTTCATAAAATAAAAAGCACTATGGACAACAGTAAGCATCCTCTCCAGAATACTGGTAAATACTAACATATCTAACGCAAATCAGACTGCTACCAAAGATCCCTTCTGCCTACAGTTATCCATATCTACTACTTGTTAAGGAAAGCTGGATGAGATACTTTAACATTTAATATCCCTTTTAATAAAGTATTAACTGAATTTGCAGGTACAGGTCACTCAAAACATGGATGTTTGGTGATGTTATCGTGGGCTCTCTTTTTTTTTTAAGCTAAAACTTTTAAGCCTAACAGCTGAGCAGTGCAGCCTAGAGCTGCAAAGCACCTGTTTGTGGTGTCCGCCATTGCTCAGGTAACCAATACGCTGCTGCTTTTTCTGCTTGGCTCGAAAAACCTGTCCCTGGAGTCAGTCGGTGACAAAAGCTGTAATCCCTACTGCATATGTTCAGATCTCATATCGCCATTACTGTGTAAACTGTATTGCAATGTATATTACTATTGAAACATTATCCAGACATACCCAGATGTACCCGTTGCCTGGCAGCAATGGGTACGGTGGCCAGGAACGGCCATGGTTATCTGGTTCCTTTGGTTGGATGGCTCCCCACTCTGGCGTCTGGGGGCAGATATGTGGTTCATGGGGGGTTGCTGTGGGTAGGTTTTGGCTGGCGTTGTGAGGGAGGTGTCTGTCTGAGGGCTGGGTTGTTTGGGGGTTTAGCTGGGTTGGTAAGGACATGTGCCAGCCATGGCCCCAGCTTTGGGACCACCCTTGGTTGCTGCTAAGCTAGGTATGATCAGGTGAATGATTGGCAGGACCTGGGCTCTTCCCCGTAGGGTAGTGCTGAATCCTAGTCTTATTTTTTCCCCACAGCTGGAACCGTAAAAAAGGGCTACCTCTGCACCTGAATATCGATCTGCATCAGTGTTAATATGATGTAGGCTGATAAAAGTACCAAAACACATGGGCGAGAAAATGTAATTACTGACATAAATCAATGGTTTTGGCATGAGCACTGACTGAATAGATAAAGCACCAGGATTAAGTAAGGCTGGTTGTTAGCCTGTTCTGTACACTTTAAAAACAATCTAGAAATAAGTAAAGAGTAGAGAAATAAGTGTATTTACCCTTAATGTGAGTAGGTAAATAAGACGATTTGCCAGTGGAATGAGTATTTTTACTCTTAAAATAAGATAATTAGATAAAATGCACTTGAAATAAGACAATGCAATAATTTTTTTCTTATTTTAAAGGTTAATTGTCTTTTTCCATTGGCAAAGTGTCTCACTTACCTCCTCAATCCAAGAAAAAATGCGCTTATTCTAAGAAAAAATTACTTGTTAAGATTTTGCAGTATAGGAGACTAGATGCAGGCAATAAAATACCAGAGTTAGTTATGTTTTGTGAAAATGAGTCAAGGCTTAATTAAACCAGGGAAAATCCCGGCTTAATCCGCTTCCTTGGTTTTGCGAAACAGTCCTCTCGTCCAGGAAACTGTGTGTACCAAATCCAGAAAAACATAAGCAAATAGAATCTACATATAAAAACTATTGCATTCAATCATTTTTGAATGTAAATCATTTAAACAGAAAACCGTGTATACCTGGCATTACTTAGAAAACAACCTTACCAATGCGTGCTCACATCTTTCACTTTTACATTTCTACAGACCTCCACGATTTTATCGATGGTTTAAACTCAGAATATCACAATTTTAACATGAGAAAGAATTATTGATGGTCTTGATTAAATCTTACAAATTAATATCCAAATTATTAAAAGTGTGTTGTGCATTCATATGCCGCCCACTGAATAAAATAGAAGTCTATAGCAGCAATAAATTAAAAGAAAAGCTCTAAACACCATATGGGATGCTTTTCTTAAGCAGGGAGCGTTAAGCTGGTTAGGGTTAAAGGTAAGATGGATGGAGCTGATCCAGGACAATCCTGGACAAAAACCCGGCTGTAGAAGACTTTATTCTGGTGAGTCGGTTCAGTAAAAACCAAGACATAAATAAGTAACATAATAGCTAAATAAAAGACTTGAAAATAAACACCTCTAGATGACTATATTCACTTTCATTGAGTTATTTGGCAGAGATTTTTAAAGCTGGTACAGAAATAACGCAAAAGAATAGCAGCTGTAATTGACTCTTCAAATTCTTAACCCCATGAGTACTGTAAACAAACCCTCTCCACACTATTCAGATATTCTTGTATAAAATTTTCTCTAAAACTGTCTAAAACTTTACATATAGCTTGCTTATTGTATATTTCACAATCTTACATTTTTGTCTGTTGCTGTGAAGTTTCTATACTGATAATGATTAGTTAATTTATCCGTGTTTAATTGTAAAATAACTCTGTATGTTCTCTAACTGTACAAATAACTCTTCAAGTGTTGAATAAAAGTCATGTGCTATAACTCTTCTCAGAGGTGCATTAAGATAACAGTTGGTTATGGTAAAGTTACAGAGAAAGTTCTTGAAACGTTGGACAGATTTGGTTGTGGGCAAACCTTCACTGACATGAAGAGCTTAAACCAAAGCTGCCTTCCTAACAATAGAATAGCTTTTATTTAGTTCTAGTAATGTTGGAATTGCACATTTTTGGGGTAGATTGAAATAGGCTGCAATATAGTTCATATTAACAAAAAAATAATAAAACCCAGTGTGATGCAAACTCATCAAATACTTAGCTCATCTGAGTGCAGAGCAATAACCTCTGGAATCAAAGGCCTATTACATACAGAAACGTACATAGAAAGAAATAAAACAGCAGTTTTACGAGCAGTTTTACATATGAAAAGTTTAAGGCATTTGTTGAGCAGAAATAACTGAAATTTTTATTAAATAAACTGGAATACCATTTTGTTTGGAATCTGTGAACAACTTTTGAGCATTTATTAATTACCATTAATCCTTTTAAGATATTAAGCGGATGATGTAAACTGTGCACCGCCTCTTGTGTCAAAGGATATATTGCAACATATTTTCAGTGCAGTCTAAGTCAGTATCAAACTGATCCCCGTTGAAGCAGACGAGTGAAGTGGAAAATATTTTTATGGGATTTAAGCTAAAAGCAGGATGGCTGACCACAAACCTCCAATCGTCTGGTTAGGTGAGTAATCAAAGAGAAAATGTCGACTGAGAGGGAGCGTAAAAAGGAGAACCTGACTGATGCCTAATAACTATCTATTTTTCAAAAATAACTAAATTAACTAACTAGAAATATTTTACTATCAGCCTCATCTTTCAGAATGAGATACCATACTTTCCAACTCTCCCTTTTTTTAATGCAGGAGACTCACGATTTTTTATGTTATCTCCCGCCAAACTCCCAATCAGTAATTTCTCCCACTAATCTCCCTATTTTTACAGAAAAAAAAAAGTATGATTGTGGGGGATATATACATTGTCATAATGGAGGCAAGGTATGCACACAGAGTCCCTATATGCCCCTCCCCGGACTTTATTCAGCCGTTACAACAGTTAAACTAGTTTTTAGCGTGCAGTAACTTCTTTTTCCGAGCTGTTTTTGAACACACCATAGGCATAAATATGCTAATACAGAAGTTTGACACGAGACGCAATGCTAAGTAGAGGTGAATGTGAGTAAACCAATTTCTAAATTTCCCACAATGCACCTTGAAAAGTAGTGATCATCCAGGGTCACTAGACGAGCAGATATATCCCGGAATGCTTTGCGAGGACAGCTCTTCTTGCAAAGCATCATGGGATTTTCCTGTCACGGTGGCCCGATTTTGGTTACAGTTGTTGCTACCCGACAGCAGCAACAAATAAAGATGGCGCAGGCACCGTGCGGGGAGGAGGAGTCATGTGACAAACAGGGAGCAAAAAGAAGTGATCATCTGTCTGAACAGTAAGTTATCTAAGTTCACTACAAAGTCCACTATATAGTCCCCGCCCTATATAGGGAGTGAGGGATTTAGGGGTTAAGGCAGACATTTGGACACAGCAAATATCTGCAAATTAGACTGATTAGAAAATATGTACAGTAATTTCAAAGGTTGCTACCTCCATAACATTACTTGCTAGCTCTTAATTCTTGGAATAAATCCATTCCTCTTTCATTTCTGGGGAGACGTCATGCACACAAATGCTCGTTATATATTTAAAATGAGTATTATGGTCACAACAGAGAGACGAGAGTCAGGGAAGAGATGTAAAAAAATAAAAAATACATGACATAAAATGAATTTAAATTCAAAGGCCATCACAGTTTTACTCTTCTCTTCCTAATTCTATCTCAAAATGTTACTTTCTCCTTTTTTTCCATCAGGAATTAGAGGTAGGGAGAGATATCATTATCTTTTGCAGGGAACCAGGCAGGTATTATGAAAAGGTTTTCTCAGATATTTCACAATAAAGGTGAAATTGACTTTAATAGACTGATAAATCACTCTGAAAAATGAGCCCTGATCACTTCTAAGAAGATGTCCCAGGATAAATGTCATATTATCTGGAAACTGGTTTGCCAGATACTGTCATATTATCCCCTTAATTTTGATATTTTCTGCACACTAGTGGCTGTATCTCTGCTGGTATTAAATTAAACAATTTTGTTTAAGTTGTCTTTTTTTAAATGCATGAATTTGAAGTTAGATGGATGTGGCCACTTTTCTTCATAGCAACAGCCAATTAATCGTTGAGATGGTGTTAGTCAGTGGTCCACAATTTTCAACTTGATCCCCAACGCTGCATACTAAATGCATTTCAGGGTAACTGCCTCATTATTTATCCTTCTGCGAATCATTTCAACAATTAAAAAGTCTTTTTTTTTTTTTTTACGTTTCCTTAAAAATTATCATTTCAATGACAGAGAAACCAACTTTTCAGAATACAGTTGCTTCTTCTGGTTTAAAACAAGGCATGAAAATTACACAACCCAATGGTTGGTAAGTATGAGAAAAAAATGACTTCAGTGATATGATAATTCAACGCTAATAATTATAATAAATTAATTACTCATATACAATTATAAGCAGGACTACTATTATAATCAACTACAACTCTATTTAACTGGTCAACCTTGAAAATTGTAAGTGATGTGATACTATAGCGCCCTCTTGTGGGAGAAGACAGAAAGAAACCCATCAGGGATACAATCAACACCTGCGGATGGACACCTGTGGACCACACATCTAATACAGGTTAACAGGGCTGCAGGGGGGGAGAAGAAGTGGGAAGGTGTGAGCAACACTGCATTGTTAACCACTTCATGGCCACATGAGGCTAAAGAGCTGCTGACTGTACATCACAGCTGAGGTTAAGGTCGACAAAATACTAACTATGCAAGTTGTTTCATCCATTGGCCAGGAGGGAGCTCTCTAAGGACTGCTAGTAAAGTATATCTCATACTTAACTATGTGTCTGCTCCTTTTTCCGGCTATCAGACACATATCGTCTGCTTTGCATTTACTGCTGCAATGATAGAAGCAGGATGTGCATATTTGTTATAGAAAAAAAATCCAACCATCTTCGACTTTTCTTCCCCAAGTAGTGATGACCTAACGCTTGGCTTTGTGTCTTTAAATCCCCTGTTATGCATCCGTCAGACAGCTAAGGGTGTTAAGAAGAGGCTCAGTATCATCTTTACTCTGTCTCGCGTAAAGCTGTGCCCTAATGCAACAGACAAACATGCACCATGCAGGACTAGAAGCAGAGAAATAAGAGGATGGAGGACGCCCCGACTTTTAATGGAAAGAGAATACAAGCTTTTCTTTTGGTCTGGAAACTGCTTTTTGGGGGTTATAGGTTAGATTTTTGCTATTCTTAGATGAGAACTAGTTACAGGCTGCCAATTTATGCACATTTTGGAGCAAACAACACCAGAAAAGCACCTACCATCTAAAAAAAAAAAAAAAAATTTTTTGATCTTTTTATCCTGATTTGTCAATAATTTTGTAGAAATGAATAAAAGGGCAACTTTTGGCAGGTTGTTTTGAAGGCTAATCCTTCATAAACCACTGATTACGGATCAACGTGTAAATTCAGCAACTTTTTGCGCACAAACAAGCAATTTGACTTCGGTTTCACACCTTCACAGCATTCATCCATACATCAACTGTCCTCCACTTATCCGGGATTGGATTGCAGGGATTACAGGTCTAGGAGGAACCTCCTTCAGATCCCTATGTGTTCTAAGGCATGTGAGGACATGTAGTCCCTCCAACTATAGCTCTAAGTCTTCTCTGACGTTTAGTTTATAATATTTACTCACAGGTAAGGACTTTGAACTAACTGGGATTAAAAAAAATAAAAGTCAAAGGAGGAGAAGTCTTTGTTGTTTAACTTACATTTTCTACCAAATAGGGGATTTGATTTCAAAAAGCAACAATGGCATCTAAATAATGTGATGAGTAACATAGCTGTTATTTCCTGCATGGCTATCAGTCCCATTAACTATTCTCATACTAAAACAGCAAACTGCTGCATTAAATAGAAACATGATTTATGTTTGTAGAGTGAAAAGCATGAAAAAAGAGTGAAACTAGCGTCTAATTGAATATTACTTAGATATCCATTACATTGCAGGTGAATGATGAAATGATTAGGCTAGTCTCGCAGCAAAGGAGCAGACTGTTTAGTCTCTGTTTACTGCATGAAGATGCATCTAAACAAAACATGACAAACTTTAATTTTTGGGAAATGCTCTGATGCGACTCAGGGGATCTATAGCTCATCTGTTTTAACAAAGCTGAAGAAGCATCTAGACATGAGAGGCAGCTGAGAGGCTAGGATTTAGCATTTAAATAGCATATGTACTGTATATACCACACTATACTGTTTAAGGTGCTCAACTTGAGGAAGTTTGATTTGTTTTTGCTCTGAAAGAAATCATTTGTTTACATGTAATATGGCTGCTTTGAATTTTGCATACGTATCACCCACAGAGCATCATGGGTAATTTTAATATGGTACATATGTGGTGCATCTTATAAGAAATGTGTTTTTCACTGACCTTTGCTCCTCTTCCAGCTCTTCTTTGGACATCATTGCCTCTAAATGGTGTGATCGTGCCTTTCCAGGAACATACTTCAAGGAATTATTTGCATCTGATTCCACTTTCACCATTCAAAGAGGAAAAAGAAAGGGGACACAAAGATTAAACGTCAATAAACAATAGATATATTGTAATCTTAAAGGATTTAATGTGGCCAAAAATGCTTACGGTTGTCCCCAGGGCTCTCTGTGGCTCCTTCTGTCTGAGGAGAAGAGAAAGCACACTTTAGGAGCTCCGTACCAGAGAGCCCGATGAACGACCCGCGGCTCCTCCCTGACGAGGCTTCGCACGAGTCCACCTCTAAGCTGGAGCTCAATGTGGAGGACGAGTACTTGACACATGCACCCTCTTCTGTCTGAAAGTGGGGGTGTTCCTGCTCCTGTCAGAGAATTTCAAAGAAAATCAGAAGCTTCCTGTCTGTTATTTTGCTGTTGTTGCCTCTACTGAATCTCATGTGACCCAGGCGACTGCGTGCGCTTTCATTTTGAGGTGTGCAAGTTATTCTCCTGTCTCAGATGACATATTATGACCATTTATAAATGGTTAACATGGGTCAGGTATGGCCGGAGAGAGGATAGTGAAAGCCTTCTCCACAGGTTACCATCGTTGGACCTTTCAAAATAAAAGCCAAGCCAAACAAGATATTGTAATCTTGAATGTTTAGAACTTTCATTTTTGCTCTACATGATTTAACATGAAGAAAATGGAGCCGATATGATAAATCAGAATCAGAAATACTTTAATAATCCCAGAGGGAAATTACTTTTGTTACACACTGACAAATGACAGTAAACTTGGATGTTCAGCTAGTATTAGTTTACGTTTGTAGTCCAATTTTCTTTCATTTTATCAATAAATCCTTGTATTCTTATTTTCTTTTGTAAGTACCCCCCCACCCCAGTCTATATAAAAAACTTGTCTGCAAAATGTCAGAGTAGTCATCCATTTTCCTTCCCCATTATTATTTGTTGTGATTCCTCGCCTCAATTTACTTGCAATTAATATCACTATAGTGTTCAATTCTTTGTCCAGGATTACTTTATAAATTCATTCCCTGTGTGCACCATTTAAAAAGACTTGCAAAACTGCAAATTTAATATTTAAATTTAGTTTTTAAGTCTTTTGGAAATTACTATCAGAGTTTCGATGAACCAGTTTACTTTTAGGCAGTATTTAAAATGCCTTGTTCGCTGACTTTCATCTTATTCAATGTATGATTTATGTTTATTTTAGTTCAGATGGGTTTGATGGCAAGTTAAGCATGGTAATTACATGGTCTCAGTGACACCTTTGGCATTATAGGTTGGTACTAAGGGGTGCAGCTATCTTAATTATTATAACCAGTGTTTTGCAAGAAAAAAGGCAATTACTTTATTTATTTCTTTACCTTACCCTCTTGTTGCAGTGTCAACAAACTTCCCCATTAAGGTGTAAGACATCACATATGCCATTTTTTTGTAGATTTTATAAAAAAAATTAAAAAACAGGGGTTTCATTTTTGTCATTATTTTTGAAATAAAAGTAACAGCTGAAAATAAATCCCCCTATTTATCTTTATATCCTTTTTTTAAAGGGTAGTTTTGAACCCTTTAAAGGGCAGTCAGTGAAATACTTTAAATATCTAAATTTCAAGTAAAGAGTGCACTGCAAAAAACTGAAATCTAAGTCAGTCAATTTTTCTTAAAATAAGTGCAAGCTTTTTGCCTTTTTTCTTGCCTTGTTAACCTTTTTTTCATCTTAATTTACAGTAATATATCATTAAAGGCTCATCTAATTGGTCAAAGGCCAAATTAAGATTTAAAGCCATGTAGCAGCATCGTTAATGAATGGCTGGATATAGATCTTGTGCTTCTAGACTTCACTGAGGGATGGGGGGAGACTCCATTTCTAAGGGGTATCCAAGTGATCAGAAATGGTAACTTGCCCTATAAAGGGTTAATGCTAAATAACGTATGGAGTTGCATCGCATCCCTTGCACCTTGTTAAACCAGAGCTCCCTCAGGCTGTGTCGTCCAGACGCTGCCTGCACTCAGCAGATTAAGGGAGAATTATGCAAAGAAGCAAATCTCTAAAGCGATCGGAACTTCGCTGCAGGAGGTCGGGACCTACTCACAGATTTCACTACATCCCAGTGGTCGTGTGAGCTCCCACTGATCTCGCTCCAGTTGTCTTCCTCCTTCTTCTTCCGCTCGGCTGCTACGTGACCGTTCAGCTTCGCCGACCCTTCGGCCGCGCGCTCTCCTTTACGACTGAAGCCACCGCGCGCGTTCGCCGCGGGCAGCGAGCCTTTCAGCAACGACGTCGCGACCACGATTGCGAGCAACGTGAAAATGACAGCGGACAATATGAGAGTGACGTCCATTGTTGGCCCGCCCTCCCCCCTTCAACGTTCACCTGAACCGCCAGACAGCATTTACTTCAGCTAGCCATCCCGCTGCTGCTGATAACCCTGCAAACGTCAAACATCAACGTTAACGAGCAGTTTATCTCACCTAACTGAACGTCACATCCTCCGGTTACGCCCCCTCCCCTCCATCTTTAACGCCGCCCTCTTGGTCAGCATTCGCTGGGCAGGTGGGTTGGCACGAAACGGTTCAACGTGTCTGCGTCTGGATAATCCCATAAAGGACAGGACAATCTGGCGGATTCAAATAGTCCCTGACAAGGTCCCGTGTACTGATGAACCTGTTAGCTTTAGTGAAAACAGTCTTATTTACCAACCAGCGGAGTGTATGGCAAGCCGTTTTAACATACATTCGGTTTCGTCTGACCATCCATAATTACGTTCCAGATATCTTAAAATACATTTTGATTAGACAGAACTACATTTTGACTATCCGGAAAGGTAATTTAAGATATCTGTATTTACATTCTGATTAGGAAGAATAATAATTCAAGATATCTTAAATTACATTTAGACTAGTCAAAATTCTTTTCAAGTCATCTCAAATTACTTTCCGTCCTTTGGATTAAACTGACTGTAAGAAATCTTTTAGGAATGATCCTCCTGGACGCTCATTAAAAAGATCATTACACATTTTGACTAGTCAGAATGTCAATTTAAGATATATTTAGTTAAATTCGAGATATCTTAAAAGGAATTTAGAATAGTCAAAATTACAATCCAAGATATCTTTCAATTTTTTCTGTCTAGTCATTATTTGCTTTTAGGATATCTATAATTGAGTTTACTTTAATAATAATCAATTTAACTTAGATATAAATACATGTAATTACTAGTTTTATAAAGAACAATTATTGATAAAAGTATGTTAGTAATGACAATGAATAAGATGTTTGCACCATAACTCAACCTGAAATTTGTCCACACCTCAAATTTGGACAGCATGGATGTTTAAATGTATGCGTCTATTTGTTATCAAAGGCTGTAGGAAAGTATAGTTGTGCTCGTTCATTTTCCTGTTGGAACAGTGTAAATTGACTGAGGTTCTGGCACCTTTCGGCCACCCCTCAGTGTACATTGGGTATTGCCCCTTATTAAAATGTTATGGCTACGCCTCTGTGTTGGATTGAACCACTAACCTTTATTCCAGGTTAGACCAGTTATTTCAGATTATGATTAATCTTTCTGAAGATTAACATCCAGTACAGTTATACAATTTAACAGCCTGAAACTCAAAAGCCAAACACTACATTTTTGCATTTGTACATCAATTGATACTTAGATGGGTATGGGGCATTGCAGGCTAACAAAAGAAGCCAAACGACCCCCATTCCAAACAGGTGGACCTGTTCATCCATTTCAATTTGCAGGTTTTCAAAAACAAGGCTTTGTTGGTCTACTGTATACAACCTTAACGCAATTCCTGATATTTTGATTTGAAAAAGCTTCCTGGATGAGAAACGAAACATCTTCAAACTTGGAAAAAAAAAGTCCAGTGGTTTGTTTTTAACTTTTTTTTTGAATGACTGCCTGGATGACTAAGAATCTTCAACATGTTCACCAGAAAAAGGAAGTGATTCAATGTTTAAGACTAATCCACCACAACTAAATTTCAATTCAATTCAATTTAGTTTATTTATATAGCGCCAAATTCACAACACATGTCATCTCAAGGCACTTTACAGTTCAACCAGATCATACAGTCAAATTTATAAAGTTTTCTAAGGAAAACCAGTTGATTGCATCGACTCATTGACTCAAATACAATCCCTCACACTAAGCATGCTTGTAGCGACAGTGGAGAGGAAAAACTCCCTTTTAACAGGAAGAAACCTCTAGAACCAGGCTGTGTGAGCGGCCATCTGCCGACTGGGGATTAAATCCAATTAATACCAGTTTCCATAATCCAACTGTGAGTTAAAAGGCTTTAAAATTGCTCTACTGCATTTCTATTTGCATGTTTGATTTTGGCAGTCCCCCTTCACCGAAATCCAAACATGATACAAATGTAGTATGTCAGAACAATAGGCATTTTATTTCATCTGTAGTACCTAAACATATGCTTTTATGAAGAATCCACTCTAATTGGTGAGAACAGTTTAAACCCGCTTAATAGAGTTGATTAAATCATGTACTCATTATCCACTACAGGATTAGAAACAAATTGGATCATCTGCTTCTCAACACTGGCTTCTTGTCAAAAAAAAAAAAAAAAGAAAAAAGTGAAAAGGGCTAAACTCACTGAAGGTCAGATATTTTTCCTCCAACCTCCAACTCCTGTTTAGGGATGTTGAGTTTACATCATTTGGTTTTCAGCAGTCCAACACAAAGTTCTTATTTAGTAAAAATTGATTCTGCCAACAAACGTTTCTAAAGTATGTACACCAAATATCAAAGAATTAAAAACAAAAAACCAAGGGAAACTGAGGTAAGAGTCAGTGTAATTCTGCTTAGCCTCAACCATCTTCAGAGATGAACACGGTTGCCGTTCATAAACAGATAATTTAAAAAAATTCAGAGGGCTGGTGTATCATGAAAATGTATTTGATGAGTTGCTCTCAATCTCAAACCTTGAAATCTCCCTTGTAGGCTGGACCTTACGATCCTCATGGCTGCAAGTTTTCCTTCCCCTCAACCTTCCATCAATTTGTATAGAATCAGCACTCAAATGTAAATGATTAGATTTTTTGGGGGGTGAACTCCATAAAGAAAAAAAACAAAAACTACTCACAACTACTACATAGAAACTAAAAGATGTAGAGAACCAGGACAATCATTAGTTAAGAATACGGTCAACATCAAGCATCAAGTGTTGTGGGGGAAAAAAGCCATTAAAACATTTAAGTTGAACACAGACCTTTATTGGCATCCATTTGAAGCAGTTACAACACATCTGATACACACAGAAGTTTGCGGTTCAGAATTTTTTATAAGAAACCATTAACTGCCCTGTGACCATTCTCTTCCGAGTCCCACTGGACCAGTTTTTAAAGCAAGCAAGACCAATTCAGTGGATAAGCCACAGAGGGAAGGCTGAGGGTGGGACACACAAGAGAAGGAAGGGTAAAAAGGATAGAAGACAATATATACAGCACATGTAGGGAAGTAGAGGTCACAGACAGGAGAGGAACGATGATCTGCCACACCTGTGAGCTTACAAACCGGCAAACGGCAGCGAAGGGTCGAGCCCCGGAACTGCACCGGGCACTCAGCACCGCAACACGCCACACCATGTCACCACCGCACTGCACCGCATCTTAACAGCTAACCAGCATTATTCAACTGCTACACAACTGCGCCTAGTGCACAAAAGATACACAAGAAAGAGGGTTAGAGTCATAGGAAAGCAACTTAAAACTAGACAGAAAAAGCAGAACACATGTCGCTGGATTAAGCGAAACACTAATTGAAGTGGCCTTTAATACATTTTACACAAAAAAAGCCCCCCTGAAAGAGTGACAATACAACTAAATGCTGCAAGCAAAAATTTAGATGTTTTCTACATAAATTTTACAAATGGGTTTCATAGTCAATTAAAAAAAAACATCAATGGAGCCTAAAAAAAAAAAAGAAAACAAGGTGATGGAAGAGGAATTTATTACTTACAAATTGAAAGAAAAAAAAAGCCCCCCACCCCCCTAAAAGGTAAACTGAAAAACACCTCCCTTTCATATACTCAGCTTTACAAATTATGCCAAAGTTACAGAATTTGTTTTGGCAGATTACAAATTTCAACATTTAAAACAAATTATACCAAGATCCAATTAACCTTTCAGTCTGCATTCAGTGGTAATAGGATTGTTCTTGCTCAAACTGAGGCAGTTCCGAAGGTCCTCAAAGGCTCAATGCAACAGATCTGGAAGGAAAAATAAACCGTTAGTCAATAAGAGTGAAAACAGAAGCTGACATCACTTCCTGCAGCTGATCTGAATATTTAAATGACTGCAAGATTTGAACTAAAACTGCTTAATAAAATAAAGCACACAGATTTAGAATAAACTCAGTAACTTGCTTCGCTTTTTTTTACATTTTCCCAACCCAGCTTTTCCCACACTAGCTCTAACACCTGGCCATATTGGGGAAAACAAACCTCAGGGTCCGCTCCCTTTCTGCGAGGCGGAGGAAACCACAGGCACAGGTGGGTAAACTGCTTAGTGCATCTGCCTGTGTGCCCCACAAGAGAACGTACCTCTGCACACCACCTCATACACCAACTGACAGCTCGAACCACCGCCATGACGACCTGCTTCATAGCAACCACCGTTGCCTCGGTGACCTGCTCCTTAGCAACTGCCATGGCTCTCAGCAACAGGCAGGTCACATGGGAGGGTCACACACTAACTGCTCTCACACTGCAACACCCCCATCTCCTCCTCTCTTTGCAAACAGGACTCAGCAGCTTGGAGGAAAGAATTCCACATTTAGGTGAACGATTTGATTGAGCATCCCACATTCCAACCACCCGCCTCCCCTCCCTGAACAAATCAATTTGAAATCCGAGTACCCCATAATAATGATGCTTTTAAACCAGATCTCCTGTTGCCTGCGTGTGCTTTAAATTGGTTTGAGAAATGTTCCAAAGTAAAGCACACACAAAGCTAGCACTAAACATGTTTTTTTTTTTGTTCTAACAGCATTCTGCAGACTTTACTGTATTTAAGAAGCTTTTTTTTGTTCTAACAGCATTCTGCAGACTTTACTGTATTTAAGAAGCATAAAGACTGCAGAAAACACTATAATGACTAAACAATGCAATACATAATTAAAGAGTAGAATAAAAAGCCCGTTCCCCTGAATACCGTGATATTGCATCCAAACTTGGGTTAAGGCTCTGCTTCGTTGTTTCCTGGTGATTTAGGTGCACTCTTGGACTTAGACCTGGACCGGGACTTCGATCCCCTGTTGGAGGCCGGGGTTGGACTCCTTGACTTGGACCTGGAGCGTGATTTGGACTTGGAGCGAGACCGGGATCTGGAGGGAGACTTGGACTTGCTGTGCCGGGGTGTTCTGGACTTGGATTTGGATTTTGACCTGGATCTCGATCGGGACCTGGAGTAGGAACGGGACCTGGAGCGGCTGTAA